ACTTCTTCTAATGCGAAACGAATTCTTTTCAAAACTAGCTTAGCTCTTATCTCAGAAAAAATCAGACTTATACGCACAGAACTAGATCAGTTAGACAAGACACTCTACAAATCACACTTATCATTGACGGCAATAATGTCCACATCGGATTGGGAACATGTAGACAATATGACTGCCTCTTCAGCTGCTACTATGTCGACCAAATGTAAGGAAAACCTGATTTCCAAATTTAACCTCCTCTTAAACAAAAGACCGGACCCACACACCAAAAAGTTAGACGTTAATAAAGTCGTAATTAATCGCAGTAACAGTTCTATTTCCGATGGTCTGAAATCCGTTTTAGCTAAAGGTCTAAACTTTGCAGTCACACCTAAACACATACCAGTTAATGATATAATTGCCCAAGTAGACGTTGCTCTCAGGGGCCTGGGTCACATCGCTGCAGACGTAGCAAGATCTGAAATCGCTGCAACCCTCAAAAACGCTAAGATGCCAGCTAGCAACCTCAGCAAAGATGAGCGTTTTGAATTATATAAATTAAAAAAGAGGAATGATATTGTAGTTCTCTCAGCTGACAAAGGCAATGCTACTGTTATCATGGATAAAATAGAATACAACAACAAAATTAAAGAATTACTCGACGATGGTAGTTATACAAAAATAAAAAGAGATCCCACCAACAGCCTCGTCACACAAACCAACAAAATAATTTCTGATTCAACCGCATTAATTGATCAATCTAAACAGTTTTCGTTGAAACCTTCTGCTGCCAGGCCACCAAGATTATACGGCTTACCAAAAATACATAAAGTTGATACACCTCTTCGTCCCATAGTCTCTACTATCAGCTCCCCCACCTACAAACTAGCTCGTTTTTTGTCTGAAATCCTGCGTCCTTTCACTGGAAAGACCACCTCTGCGGTACAAAATTCTACTCACCTGGTATCAACAATCAAGGGTATTTCCCTGTCCCCAGACGACCTGCTTGTCAGTTTTGATGTAGTTTCCTTATTCACCAAGGTTCCTGTACCTGACACCATTGCAATCATTGAAGACTTGGTTCATCAAGGACTAAACACTGAGGTACCCCCCCTGGTGAGACACTGTTTAACCAATACATACTTCACTTGGAATGGAACTTTCTACAAACAAACTGAGGGCACCCCAATGGGCTCCCCCCTTTCTCCAGTTATAGCTAACATTTTCATGGAGAAATTTGAGACTGACGCCATCCAGACTGCCACTCTGCGCCCAACCTTATGGAAGAGGTACGTGGATGACACTTTTGTCATCTGGCCACATGGCCGGCCTGCTCTAGACAAATTCTTCGACCACATCAATTCCATACACCCAGCCATCAGATTTACCATGGAAGTCGAAATAGATGGCAAGATACCTTTTTTGGATGTCCTAATTAAAAAGAGACCTGATGGTTCAATGAGCCACTCTGTCTACAGGAAAGCTACCCATACGGATGCTTATCTGAAACCGGATTCCCACCACCATCCATCACAGAAGAATTCTCTCATCAAGACTCTGTATCATAGAGCCCAATGCATATCCGACCAGGAACACATAAGCAGTGAACTCAAGCACGTACACCAAGCTCTTAGGGCTAATGGTTACTCCGACTATACAATCCGCAAAGCTATCACTCAAACCATGAAGAAGAACCCTCTTGAGGAGCCTTTCAAAACCATCACTTTACCCTACATTGCTGGGATCACAAAAAAGATCTCCAAAATCTTGAATAAACACAAGATCCAGGTCCGTTTCAACACATTACATAAAATCCGTGATCTGGTTCCGTCTGTAAAAGATGTGATTCCGGACATACAATACCCTGGTGTCTACAAACTAAGTTGCCTCTGTGGTAGTAGTTACATTGGAGAAACCAAACGCCATATCTCGGACCGCATTCGTGAACATAAAGCAGACCTTAAACACGGTAGGACCAACACCTCGGCCGTAGCAGATCATTGTTCTAATTCAGTAGGCTCACATGCCATTGACTTTTCCAAGACGGAGGTTCTTTGTAAGCCATCTGGCTTCCATGAGAGATTCGTTCATGAGGCTATCCACATATACAAACACAGAGACAATTTCAACCGAGAAGATGGATTCTATCTTAGCAATCATTGGAAAGATTTGATAAATCATTTCACTTCTTGATTGATTGTTCACGCTTACAGTGCCTTTCAGACAGCATACATAAAAACAAATTTCGTCTCCCCCCTCCTCTTTTCAAAAAATAGATGGACTAGTCCTGGCAAACTGCCATCGTTGCGCGTGACGCAAACGTTATTTTTATATATATAAATAAATATGCCGTTTTCAAAATAAATTTATGCAAACCGACACACCTGATGATGACCGTTTGAGTTATGGTCGAAACGTCGTGAGAATTTTTTATTGTTTTATATATATTTTGTTATTTTGTTGTTTCTCTTCAACGTGACTTTACCGAAAAAACTAAGAATATGAATTACTGCAGTCACGAAAGCTTTAAATCAAAATTTAGGTGTTAAGATGTTAAAACACCAAACTGAAACTGCTTGTGGTCAGAATGCAAACAAAAAACATACTCTGATAATATATGCATTGTCCTTGAAACTGATTGGTCCACACCAGAGACAGCTTTCTTTTGAGCCTCGTCTCAAACGATGTTCGACCAGAGGACGCCAAAAGGCGTACAGCACAAAGACAATGCACTATCAGAGTAATGAGAGCTCGGGGTGAGTATCTACATCATGGGACCTCCTTTACCAGTACCAAAATGTAATAATACGTTTTTCCCTTTTTCAGTTTTGTGTTTTAACACCTGTTTTGTTGCCAGAAAAAAGGGTAAAAACCTATTCTCATATTTTAGTCCTGGCAAAGGAGGTCCCATGATCGAAAACTTCCTTCAAAAACTTCCTGACACAGAATGTTTGCACTGGATACACCAGATTTGCAAATGTAATTTGTACCTTTGACCCCTATCGAAAGATCAATTATAATTTGCAATGTTATTGAGGGACTGTTGTGTGTTGTCTTGGTGTGGTCTGGGACTGTCGTTTGCTGCCTTGCCCAAGCTTGTTTCCAGTGTTGAAAATTGGCAGGAATTTATGTACTTATGTAATTTGTATTTATTTTCCCTCATTTATATTTACTTTGTTTACCGTGACTGGTTTACCTTGTCTCTATTTTGCACTCTATCGTTTTTGTATTGGCTATTTTTGTAACTTGCTCACCCGCCCCGACTGAAAAAGAGCTTCATAGCTCATCAGATTCCTCCTCCAGTCAAAATAATTCTGATTCACTCCAGCCACTCACTCGCCAGCGATCATTCACCTCCTTATCACTCTTCTACTGCTACTACTGTTCACGTAAACTTCAGTCATTGATTCATCCACCCACCATTTGTCCAGGACTCAGTCTAGCAGACACAGACTGTTCCGTCTCATCCATCCTGTCAACCACCACACTGCATTTCACGACAATTATCTCTTTGTGTCGTCCCTCGTACTGCTCGACTTTGCAACTTTCTCCCATCGTCTCTTATCTCATGGTTTTCATGACTCTGCTCAAATCAAGAAATGCATTAATACATATAATTTATAGTTTTAAAAGCGTTGTTATGTGCATGTGAGAAAATGTTCTTTTTTACATGTGGAAATTAACAAAGCGGTACCTCATATTCTTAGTTTTTTCGGTAAAGTCACATTGAAGAGAAACAACAAAATAACAAAATATATATAAAACAATAAAAAATAAAAAATTCTCACGACGTTTCGACCATAACTCAAACTGTCATCATCAGGTGTGTCGGTTTGCATAAATTTATTTTTAAAACGGCACATTTATTTATTTATAAAAAAAAACGTTGGCGTCACGCGCAGCGATTGGCAGTTTGCCCAGGACTAGTCCATCTATTTTTTTGAAAAGAGGAGGGGGGAGACGAAATTTTTTATAATGTATGCTGTCTGAAAGCCACTGTAAGCGTGAACAATCAATCAAGAACTGAAATGATTTATCAAATCTTTCCATGAGAGATTCGTTCATGAGGCTATCCACATATACAAGCACAGAGACAATTTCAACCGAGAAGATGGATTCTATCTTAGCAATCATTGGAAAGATTTGATAAATCATTTCAGTTCTTGATTGATTGTTCACGCTTACAGTGGCTTTCAGACAGCATACATTATAAAAAATTTCGTCTCCCCCCTCCTCTTTTCAAAAAATAGATGGACTAGTCCTGGGCAAACTGCCAATCGCTGCGCGTGACGCCAACGTTTTTTTATAAATAAATAAATGTGCCGTTTTAAAAATAAATTTATGCAAACCGACACACCTGATGATGACCGTTTGAGTTATGGTCGAAACGTCGTGAGAATTTTTTATTGTTTTATATATATTTTGTTATTTTGTTGTTTCTCTTCAACGTGACTTTACCGAAAAAACTAAGAATATGAATTACTGCAGTCACGAAAGCTTTAAATCAAAGCGTTACCTGTTGTAGCGACCCTGGTAGGATGATGGGCTGAGTCAAGCCTATCAGGATTTGAACTCTCAACCTTACAATTGCGAGCAACTCGCTCGACCACTGAGCCACGTGGCCGGGTCGTGTGCTTTTCAAGTGACATCTTTCATTCCATGGGATCTTTTTGCCCGTATAAAAGTATGAAAAATAAGAATAAAACAGGTGTTAAGATGTTCAAACACCAAATAGATACCTTTTGCAAGGAATCAAGTCTGCACTAACCACACGTACTTGTGGAGAACATGCACACTAACATGCTCTGATAATATAAGCATTTCCTTTGAAACTGATTGGCCTACAATCAGAGCATGTTTGTTTGCATGTTCACCTCACGTACGTGTGGTTAATGCAGACTTGCTGCCTTGCAAAAAGTATGTATTTGGTGTTCAAACATCTTAATGCCTCCTGTTTTATTGCCAGGAAGGATAAAACCTATTTTTATTTTTCAAACTTTAATTACATTGTTGCCCCTCAGGTGATATATGACCAGAATGGGTGCCTCTACGTGTTTGCCCCAAATGAAGTCAGCCAACATACATGGGTCTCGATGCTCAAGCAAGGTAAATGCAAACCGTCATTTCTGTTCTTGCACGACTGTAGCTTCAGGATAATCAGCGGTCCAAGTGTGAATGTGCTAAAACTATATACTAAACTATTTTTTTTATTTTACCAGGTAAAGCCCACTGAGTTATATAGCTATTTTTCAGAATTGACCTGGCCACAAATCATAGCTCAACGAAGTGGCTTATCATGTGGAAATGTATAGCAGCCAAATACTCTAAACGCATGTTCTAAAGTCCCAGCATGAGACATATTAGTTCTGCACCAACCCATGTTCATTTCCATTTTCCCTCTAGGAAAACATCGCAGAATAGAAATAGGTACCGTTTTGAAGGGCCAGTATGGCATACCTGTAAACCCATACGGTTTACCTGTATTCTTGTACAGGGAAATTTAGTAAAAAAAACTTTGGGATATTTTTTCGTGTTTCACCCTTGTGATTGGCCTTTGAAGGATGAACGTTGATATTTATAAGAGCACGGGATGACCAATAAGGTCTGAATTGGTCTGTAATAAGGTAGGCACTGATAAGGGATTGACAGGTATGGTATGGCGTACCTACCTATACCAGCACTTTTCCACCACTGTGGGTAAATTTAAATACTTTCCTGTGGTGTGATAGCCAAGGCGTCCGTGTGCCCACTTAGTCTCCAATCAACTTCCATTCCGAGAAATAATCTCAAACCCCCGTATTATTGAATTGAGAGACGCACTGCATGATATGTGGTATAGGTAAGAAATGGTGGTGATGATGGTCCAGGCGTATAACAATAAGTAAAGATATTTTTTTCCAGAGAATGTAAACATTAACATCGCAATATTTCGCCACATAGCAATAGCTCACAAACTTCTAAATGCCAAAATCGATCTAACTTATAAGCAGAGCTTTTTTGAACAAGTCCCAACAGGTGTGAGTCGTAAGGTCCTCGTTCTGGGACGTATGCCACATCTGCCAGAATGTTACGTTTAAGCATGCTCAACACATGAATATACGTGTGGTGCATTATCCTTTACAAGAGGATTGGTGAAACATTGCAACGCAGAAAACAAGTTTAAGCTCGGTGTGGTTTTTCCTGGATGAATAACTCTAGAAACGTGATGATGATTACAATGATTTTAGAATTAGAATTCTAGCTGTAACACAGTTACACAAAAGATAACATATGTGAATTATGGTACACATTGTCGAAAACGGGTATCCCTCAATTTACGAAAGGGATGTGTTTTTCAAAAATCGCGCGCAAAAACGAAATTTCAGAAATTAGAATGGCTTTTCTCATTAATTTAATACTAAAACGAATACTAAAACTTAGGGATATGTTTCAGATAGTCATTACAACCTAATAAAATACACCGATATCACTTTTAACAAAAAATAAAGAACATCAAAATGAAAACAATTTAATTAGAATTGATTTAGGAGGCGTTACTGTTGCACTGCAGGGACACCATGACACTGTCGTGGATGGTTGATGACACAGCCTCCTGGGTGGCTTCTTGTTTAATGATCTCGTGGTGCGTGCCGTAGTTAAATTTTATTTACACGTAAATTCGATTTCATGAGCGGAAAAGTGTCCATATTTTGTGAATTGCGTGAACGCACAATTTCGTAAACCGAACGTTCGTAAATCGAGGGATGCTTGTGTAGTGAGTCCAACTGAGTCGCAGACGTTGTCTTAGGGAGCAACACTTTTATTAAACTATTTGCACAACATACTCCAGGCTATTAACACAACATAATCTCGGGTGGTGACCACCCAACTAACCACGCTACGGCGGAACTAGACACGGTTCCACTATCCCGGTCCGGACCACAAGCTGGGTCTCGGACCGCGTGGCTGGAGGCTTCTTTAAGCTTGACGTGGATCTCCTGCCTCTCCAACAGTGAGAACCCCGAGCCCCTCCCAGGGCCCCCCTTATATCGGGCCGGGCTGGGGCTGGCTCCGCCTTTCGCCCCGCCCACCTTCTCGAACTCTCTCCCCCTTTCCCGAAGGCTCTTGAGAGTTCTTCCTGGACCATGTGACCACCCATTGGCCCCCTCTACCGGTGGCCCCCCTCCAGTGTCATCCAGTCACTTGTCCCCAGGTCAGCCAGAGTATCATTCCCCCAACGTAACCCTAGCTGGCTGACACTCTCTCGCTCTCTCAACGGGAGCCCGCACCGCACGCTGTACATGGTGCCGCCGTGCTTAACCAGGGCTCACCCAAGCCCCCACTAGGTCTGCTACTACACCCCGTGTCCGGAGTGTACCCACAACAGTATACATCCCGCTGTGGCCTCGCAGGCCCGGTACCACACAGTGACATTTCCAGTCACTACACGTGTACTGGTCCTACAGCCAAGTGTGGCCACGGCAGTTTGTGGCAACTGTTGCCGGGTGGGGTAGGGATGAGCAGAGACAATTATAGCGTGGGAATCTGAACCACCCTATTCAGTTGCCACACCCAACAAATGCAAAAAAATGCCCTACCATATTAACGTTGAATCATAAGTGTATCCAGATATTATCACTAAAATAAAACTGAATTCGACTTGCAGAATAGTATGATGTAACTTAACCTCCACTTACTAGGCATATTGGTTTATAGCAAAAATAGTGTGTGTGGGATTTGGTTTGTGTTTAGAAATCCAACACAATGCCTGCCTGTGGGTCAAATATCACCCGCACTTCTGGAGTGAGGGCATGTGGCTCTGCTGCCAGCAAACCGCAAGGAACGCCATCGGCTGCACGGAGTACCAGCGCATGAGCAGAGCTGGTGAGTCATTCATGCATCCTTCCCATTGCGATGCCCTTCTGGGATCACGCTGCTGCTGTTTGCCATCCTAGAATCATCACCTAGATCTGGAATAACGCTGGCGAACAGAGTGGAATAGTGCGGATGTCCAGAATCAACACCTCGTCAGAGACCCAAACATCATTGCACCTCCTGGCTTTGACATTCCTCCTCAAAGACACTGGAATAACCAGCAATCACGTTAGAACATAAACAGGTTGATGCACACATTGCCTTCCTAACTGGAACATTAAAGACAAACCACAGGAGTGTGATTGTGGCCATGCTACCCAAACAGTGGACCACGTAGTAATTCACTGTACAGTCGTCTGCCTCTACCTCCAATGGAAGAATAGCAAAACTACATAAACTCTCTTCTGAAGCGCTCTTGTGGCTAGCATACCTCCACATTGGCATTCAGCTCCTGAATACATTGCTGCTATACGAAATTGGATTTTTAAAATACTTTATCTTACCAGGTAAGGTCTACAGAGCTGCAATGCTCTTTTCCAGAAATGCTCTGGCCACAAATGATATCTCAATGAAGTGGCTTGTCGTGTTGATATATATAGCAGCCAAATACTCTAAACGCATGTTTCTAAATGTGGAGGAAAAACCCAGAGGAACCGGAGAAAAATCCACACAACCACGGGGAGAGAGACATGCAAACTCCAAATACACAGGTGTCAAGGTCGGGATCGAACCCACGACCTGTATACCAGGCGTGGGAGATAACATCTCGCCACCGTGGCACCCCTATATAATGAGGCTCAGGCAGGTTAGAGTTGCCACCTATTCCACAGACCAAACCGAGATACATTTCTCAGCCTAGGTTTATCAAACTCATCACTCACGCAGAACTCACTCACCAACCACTCAACAGGCAATGACCACTCAGCGGACACTCACTGGATACCTTTCACATTCACACGATATGTCAATCACCTGACCCTGGCCAGGCACTCGTGATCATGTTGACTTATGTTGACTGTCTGTCTTGAATACTTGACGTCCTGATGTATTCCTTATATTCCCTGTAGGTAACACAGCTGTCCCAAATAACTTACCGGTAAGTTCACTTTACTATCTGTGAATTCCCTTGGACGTGTTTGTTAATACTTTTAATTGGAAACATTACACTGTCAACAGCTAATTGTTAAAAATCATACCGTGTTCGTTGAATGTGAGGTGGTAATAAAGTGTGAATGTAATTTAATTTTAGTGATGTGCCATCTGCCGAACGTCCCTGGATTGGTGAGGCTCTCCCTGCCGCATCTCTCCTGCATTTGGTGACAGGAGTGACAGACGTTCTGCATCACTTATGTGCCACCTGGGCAAAGATGAGAATCGGAGAGTCGTACCAATTACGGCTCAGTCGGTTACAGCTCAATCAGTTCCGATTGAATCAGTCATGGTCCAATCAGTTATGGTTCAATTGGTTACAGTCCAATCAGTTACGGTTTAATCGGTTCTGGTTCAATAAGTTACGATCCAATCAAATACGGTTCAACCGGTTATGGTCCAATCGTTACAGTCCAATAGATGACGGTCCATTCAGTTCAAAATAGGTTGCATAGTTTGGTTGGGGTTAACCGTTTATATATTAAAAAAACGGTTTAACTTGGTTCAAAGATTTGCTCTAAATAGCATCGTAGAAACCGCATGGTGGGACACGGGGGCCAGGCAGATGTAGGGGGGCAACCCAGGGGTGGGGATGTTGGTGGGGACTGTCGTTCAAGATGAGGACCATCCACGAGTAGTTATGCAACATTCCTCCAGCACTCCACCAGAAATGGCCGATATATTGCAAGGGACTGTCGTTAGTTACACTAGACTTGAGTTACAATATGGTTCATGTGAATTAATGACATTTAAAATATTAGCAAGAGGTACACATTCATTTGCCTCCAGCAAAGATTCACCTTATAGCAGTTGGCATGCTGCTTTACTGACAATCAATTCTCTCTTTGCTGGCCGTGAGTATTGAACAAGCCTCAAAGTGCCCTTGACCACTGAGTCAGCTCCGTCTGTGCAGGAACACAATTACTCTTCTTATTTTATTGCCTATTTGTGCATGGTGGGAACCCCATTCAAGGACTACCTAGGCTGAGGTTGCCACCTGTCCGGGTGTTGTCATCATCTGTGTTTATGTTTTTGTACTGAGATCTGGTAACCGGTGTGTGTTGGAAGTGCAAAGTTTGAGAAGCCCGGGCCGACTTTGAAATGTGTCTGGGAATTTGTCTGTGGAAAAGGTGGCAACCCGCACCTCCAATGAGTACGCTTGGCTAGGTAAGGTGCGAAAGAAGTTCAACATACAACCTGAAGAATAAGTCTGGGGTTCTTTACATGTGGAAGGCTGAACATATATTCTGATGGGCTCGAAGAATGTATTTTGTTTTTAAAACAAACGTGACGAAAATTGGAAAATCATTAACAGGGCACATGGAAGACCAGGGCATGGGTTTGTTGAATTCCATACAATAGATAAGTGGAGAGATTTAGATTTTTAAGTGCGTAATCACACATTCATTGTATGCGAGTGAGTCCTTCTGAGTCGCAGACGTTGTTCCTTTTAGAGGCAACACATTTATTTGTAACACAGTAACACAAAGGGGTAACTGCCCCTTTACCAGATACAACCTAGGGTATTGACCACCCAGCTAACTACATTCTACAGAGGAGTTACTGCTACGAAGGGTCAGACCCTCACTCGGGTATCTGACCACGTGGTTCCTCATAGGACGAAGAGCTTCCAGCTTGAGACACCGAGCTTCCAGCTTGTAGAACGAAGAGACCCCGGTCGCTCTCAGGGACCTGCCTTATTTCCCCCTACGGTCGGGGCCGCTCCACCCACTGCCCCGCCCGCCTTCTCGAGCATTCTCGTTCCCTCTCAATCCCTCTCAAGAGCTCTACCCGGACACGTGATCACCCACTAGCCCCCCCCCCCCCCCCCCCCACCTGGGACCCAAAAAACATGCACAACCTCCGGTCGTTGGCAATCGCGATAGGGCATCGGTGTTCGTATGGCGAGAACCCTTGCGGTACGTAACGTGGAACGAGAAGTCCTGCAGGATCTCCAACCAGCGTGAAAACTGGCCTGACGGCTGATCCACACGCAGCACATATTGGAGCGCTGCATGATCGGAGCGCACCTCAAATTGTCTACCGTACAAGTAGGGCCGGTACTGCTGCAAGAAAACCACAATGGCTAGCAATTCACGGCGCATAACGCAGTAATGCTGTTTGGCCGGAGACAGCACTCTACTGCCATATGCAACAACTCTCTCCACCCCATCAACAACCTGCGACAAAACGGCACCAATGCCAGTATTGCTAGCGTCCATATCGAGGATGAATGGCAATGAAAAATCCGGATAACGGGCGATGCGGCCCCTATCCGACAGAATCCCTACCGGCTGAGCCTGGCGGAGAAGGAACATGTTTGACTGGCGGTTGATGAGATGTTGGCCACAGAAATCATCTCACCATCCACCCGTCCCTGGGGAGCTCCGATTGTGCTTGTGAAGAAGCACGACAGTAGCTTACGATTTTGCATAGATTTGATAAAGCTTAATAAGGTTGCAGATGCGTATTCCCTTGCCCTCGCATGGACAATTCGCTGGACATGTTGGCAGGGGCACGTTTCTTCTCCACCCTGGATCTTCTATCCAGGTTCTGGCACTTGCCGCTTGACGATGTCTCGAGACCTAAGACAGCCTTTTGTATGCCCCAGGGATTCTTCGAATTTAACCGGCTTCCCATGGGGCTCCATTCCACACCAGCTACGTTCTAACGTTTGACAGAACTGGTCCTGGCGGGTCTCCAATGGGCTGACGACGATTACATCGTCGATTACATCGTCGTCAGCCGAACTTTTGATGACCATTTGCTCCATTTGCGTGCTGTCTTTCTCAAAATGCGTGTGGCTAACCTTAAATTCAAACCTCAGAAATGTCACCTTTTCCGGAAGTCAGTTCGGTATCTTGGCCACATTGTTGATGAATCAAGTATTGCAACCGACCCGGAGAAAACTGCATGTGTTCGTGCTTGGCCCACCCCCACCCCGGTGACTGAGGTGCGCAGTTTTATCGGCTTTGCGTCTTACTGTCGCCGCTTTATCGCTGGGTTCGCGTCAATTGCGAAACCTCTCCACGCGATAACGGCTAAGGGTCATAAGTTTCATTGGGGAGAGGAGGAGGCTGCATTTCGTGCATCCAATATCGAATTTACCTTTGCTAAAAATATCCGAAAATTCACGCAAGAGCATTCACAACTTTCCTATCTGTTCAGCGGACAAGGTACCAGTGCCAGCGCACAATTTGGCGATCCAACATTTCATCCACATCACGGGATTGTCGCGTGTAAGGCTCAACACCCACACTCCCGACGACGCCCCCTTCCAGACGTGCCGACGACGCATGAGCCAGCACCCTACTCTCCTGGATGACCGGGGTGTCCAACCCAGCATTAAGAAACTGAATAAAGGGTTCCTGGTCGTTGGCTACTAACGTTTGGTCCGCCACCAGCGTCAGCCCGCGACTGACCTTGCTGGAAGGTTCTAAGACAATTCCGTTCTCCATAGATCCCAAATCGAGCGGCTTCCTCAAGCGGAGGGGAACCAACATCTGTGCGCTGGGAAGGATGCTCACCGTTCGTCACGCAAGCGCCTGCACCGTAGCGTTGGCCGTACACGACCGAGTGGGAGAAGGAACAAATGCCATACAACGGCCGGAAGGCAATGCAGATTTTCATGGGCATCCTACCAAGGAAATCAGTGTCAAGTAAACATGTGGAGACCAGGATGTGTCCTGATAGTTTAAAGTCAGCGATGCGCACCTTGGCCGTTATCCGACTGATAATGCCCAATGAGCCTCCGTTGGCGGCGAAACACAGCACATCAACGGGGCAAAATATTGTAGATCAATTCCGAAATTATAGTTGCTGACGCACCCGTGTCAACTAGCATCTTTATTTATACACCCTCAATAAACCCAAGTACAGCAGGTGAACCCGCGGCTGCTGCCACCACCCGATGGGCCAGCTCCGACCACTGATCCGGTTGGAGCTGACGAACCTCACAATTATGCGTAGGACTCCTCCACACCGCCGCGCGACCGGGACGCGAACCGAACTGCCTAGATGGGTGAGGTAAGGCCAGGGGTCGAGTGTGGAGTGCATCGCGACTCGCCTTAGGGTGCAGGGGAGCATAGGGTGGCGGTGATGCTGGGAGGCGCCGTCGTGGTACGCGGCAGCCCGATAACACGTGCCCCGGCAAGCAGCACTTGAGCAGGTAACAAGGCCGCCCCTGGAACGAGACGACGATCTTTGCCACTGCTACTTGTCCGTCCGTTGTGCGCCCCCGTCACCCCGGTCGCCACCACCCGACGCGTATGCCGACAGGGGCTCCTCTCCATCCGACGGCTCCGGCTCCATACGGGACAGGGCACACGTCACCAGTGTCCTGTCCCATTGTAGAAGTTGCTGGGCTTGGATGCACTTAGCGACCTTGAGAGACGAGACGTCATCATCCTCGGCTGGAAGGATAGTATGGAGGGATTTCGCTAAGGCCAGCAGTCTCTCTCGGACACACGCTTCATTTCCATCGTAGTGCATTTTAGGGAACGCGGCTTTCGCTAGCGCCATAAGTGCGCTATGGAAGGCGAGGGCCGACTCATTCTCCCCCTTCCATCGTGTGGCAAATTTGTGGCGCGTGTTCGCTGGAGGCTCGTAAATAGATGCCATCTGGTCGAAAGATGGCGAGAAACACTGCAAGGGCGTCATCGTTGTGGGCGGAGAGCAACGCATGCAGCGCCTCCGCCTCCGTCCATCCTGCCAAGTCGGCATTCGTGAGGAATCGTCGCTTGAAAGCCACCCAGTCGCCACTGGTAGCCGCGAACTCCTTAATGAAGGGAAGTCACCGTCGGAGAGCCGGGATGTCCATCGGCACCGATGGCGCGCCTTCAATTTTGGCGGGCTGCGCGCTCTGTGCCAATGACAAAATGGTGCCCGCAAGTGCGGGCTGCGCCGCCGAGTTTCCCGCCTGCTGCGAAATGGTGGCGGAGTCGCCTTTCACGAGCGGCATCGCCGCTCCCTCCTTCAGTGGCGAGGCTGCGGGGCTGATCTCCACCAGGAGCGAAGCAACAGCATGGAGGAGCTCTGCGAGGCGACCGTGCACCTACAGGAGGGATGCCCCCACCGACAGCGAAGCATCGAGCTGTCGGCTGGCGCCCTGCTCCGCCGGCAGCATCTCCCCTGCATCCTCCGGAGCTGTAGGTGGCACGAGGTCCTCGTCCTCACTGTCCGATGTCCTGGTACGTGGTCTGCGATGTGTAGACATAGTCTACAGCTAGCTGAATAACTAGCATGTTGGCTACTTCCGACACCAGTTGTAGTGAGTCCAACTGAGTCGCAGATGTTGTTCCTTTTAGAGGCAACACATTTATTTGTAACACCATATCACAAAGGGGTAACTGCTCCTTTACCAGATACAACCTATGGTGGTGACCAACCAGCTAACTACACTCTACAGAGGAGTTACTGCTACGAAGGGTCGGACCTTCACTCAGGTCTCCGACCACGTGGTTCCACGTAGGATGAAGAGCTTCCAGCTTGAGACGCCGAGCTTCCAGCTTGTGGAACGAAGAGACCCCGGTCCCTCTCAGGGACCTGCCTTATATCCCCCTACGGTCGGGGCCGCTCCGCCCTCGGCGGAGGTGACCGCTCCGCAACGAGGATCCGCCATTGCTTGCTTCAGGTGCGGTCAACCGAGGGGATGTCGGAGCAATGCCTGGCCGATGACGTCGTCAGCGTCCATATTCTCGCCAATTACCACTCCACAACTACGGCAGGATACAACCCACTGAGTCTCAGTGGCCCACAAGACTCCACCACGTGTGATGGACCAGCGTCAAGGACCCGATCGAGAACTTTACGGCTGCGATAGCGGCTCTCCAAACCACGAAGTGGACTTTCGATTCCCAAGGCCAAACATTTTTTTTGTGCGTACCCCGGTGCGGTTGTCATTTTCTATTGTTATTGTTGGTTTCTATAAGTGGAACGGCGGGTTCTTTTCGATGCGGATGTGTCTGTCATTCTTCCCTAATTGTAAAAAAAGAAAATGTGAGTCTTGGTATTAGTCAGGACCGTTACATTTTTAAGAAGGCAAGGGGGCTGGGGTGATGTAATGACAGTAGAGTCTACCTGCAGTGTGAATGGATTAGTACCGACTGGAGGTAATGACATGGGAATAAATTCTAGATTGAAAGCTTTCGTGACTGCAAGGATCCATACTCTTTGGTTCTATTCGGTAAAGTCACGTAGGTAAAAAATAAAACAACAAAAATTACGACGTTTCGGCCACAACACAAGTGGCCTTCATCAGGTGAAGGGACTAGACTGTCTAGAGGACAGCGCTGGAGTGAACACAGCCAAGCTCAGACTGCGACCTTTAAGCTGTGTGAGAGGAAACAGAGCGCTTTGACAAAGGAATTAGCATAAAATTAGCATTTAATTGGTGGACTTAGCATGATGAACGGTGTAGATGTGCAGGTCGGTGAAGGGGAGAGGGGAGGGTGGAGTTTACATATTGATGGTGTGAAAAGGGAATTTAAGCAGCTGCGAAAGTTTGGGATACCACTACTTGAAAAAATATACTGTACCATTGAAAATTAGTTTAATGTTTGATTTGATTCTAAACATCTTTCCAATGGTTGCTTAATTTGAAACCATCCTCTCGGTTGAAATTGTGTCTGTGTTTGTAAATCTGAATTGCCTCGTGAACAAATCTCTGATAAAAACCCGTGGGTTTGCAAAGAACCTTGGTATCGGAGAAAATTATATCGTGATCACCCACAGTGTTGTAACAGCGATCAGCTACGGCAGAAGAATTTGTTCTGCCGTGTTTCAAATCTGATTTGTGCTCGCGAATTCGGTCAGAGACATGTCGTTTCGTTTCTCCGATATAGCAGTCACCACAGGTGCAGATCAATTTGTAAACTCCGGGGTACTGTAAGTCAGGAATGACATCCTTCACGGAAGGGATCAGGTCATGGATTTTGTGTACTGTATTGAACCGGACCAGGATCTTGTGTTTGTTTAGAATTTTGGAGATCTTTTTAGTAACGCCTGCTATATATGGTAGTGTGATGGTTTTGATCGGAGTATCAAGTGGTTGTTTCTGTATGGAGGGAGAAACAGCTTGGCGGATGGTACGGTCCTAGTATCCATTCCTTTTTAGGGCCAGATGTACATGTTTTAATTCACTGGTCAGGTGGTGTTGGTCCGAAATGCAATGAGCCCTGTGGTATAACGTTTTGATGAGAGAATTATTTTGCGTCGGGTGGTGGGAATCAGGTTTCAAGTAGGAATCTGTGTGGGTGGGTTTCCTGTAGACAGAATGTCCCAATGAGCCATCAGGTCTCCTCTCAAACAGAACATCCAAGAATGGCAGCTTGCCATCTTTCTCCACTTCCATGGTGAATTTGATGGCGGGGTGTGGTTATATGTGTATATATAAAACTGTCTTAATTGTTTATTGGCCAAATATAACCAGACCTCGTGTAGGTTCCTGTCTAATAAATCTGTCCCCTTTGTGGGTAAATAGGCCAGAGAGGGTACAGAATGGAAGTAAGTGCAAATCACATTGACCATAGAAACATTACAGGATGCTGGTCTTATGCCACAAAACCAGAGTCAGATTACAAAATTATTTCCAGGAGACGTAACAATAAAAGAACATTTCAGGTCCTATGGAGGAGCTAACTTGTGCTTTTGTTTAAATTGCAGCCACCTCCGCAGAGCCCCCTGCCAAGCCCCCCTTTGCCGCCACTACCCCCTTCACCCCCCACATCCCCACTTCTGCAATCGTCTCCATCCCCGATGGGCCCACTTCATCAAATGACCCAATCGGTCGCCCCCACCCTGCCGCCCGCAACTCCGCATCCTCCATCGTGCCCCACACTGGCAGCAAATGAATCCCGCACAGCAACGGAGGCAGCGGCGGCAGCAGCGGGAGACGGGGAAACGGCAATGTGGGTGGAGGCTCTGTACAACCTGACGGTCACCGAGAGCCAGGATCTTTCGCTGGTGGCTGGGCAGGAGTACCGCGTGCTGGACCACTCGGACGAGTATTGGTGGAAGGCCAGGGACAAGCAAGGGTGAGGGCACCGCTGCCATTGGGCAGAGCTCGTGTCACATTGATCTCAGTGGGGCGGGCGATGTGTGAAGGAATTGTTTGCTCATTACAATACGGATGCCGGGTATGAGGGGTAAAAAAATGTAACTGTTCGATTACAAAACCACGCAATGGTAAGATGTTGAGAAGGGCACAGTCCGGGTACGGCAAGGCAATCCGCGAGTCGTAATGCAGTTGGCACACATTGAGGCAGTCGCCAGAGAAAGCAGCGGTTTCTCTAGGCAGTTGAGCAACATTTTCTTCCAACCTGATGACTGTAAAATGTTTTTTTTGCGCCTGCCATTAGTACGGTACGGCGAGTTCGTGACCGTTGCTGTCACAAGGAACCATATGTACTAGATATATGTTGAACTTCTTTCGCACCAGACGCAGCCAAGTGTGCTAATCAGAGGTACCGCACATATGTGCTATTATGAGCACAGAAGCCCCTTTGAGCCACCAAGCTTAAAAATCGTGAAACCGTGGTCTTCTCTTCATTTGCCGTAGTCAATCCATATGGCAGGGGTGTACTCGTTTAAAGCTTACCAAATTTGAACTTGGCGGCTGAGAGAAGTTATTACGAATGGGCGCACGTTGTCTGCAAGCAGTGGTACATCGTTGAGTTACCAAATTAACACTTCTGCAATACACACATCATGTGGACATATGCACAGATTTTCACAATGTTATGCTCTGGGATATATACATAGCATCGCCCTACAGACGCATACAGCTATGCACGCGTACAGGATTTCCATCTTTGCTGCAAAAGAGAAGATCGTGAAATCGGCGTGTAATTTTGTCATTATTTAAAATAAACGCTCTGTGTTGTTTCCTGCAGGAGGGAAGGCTTCATACCGAGCAACTACGTGATGGAGAAGACATTCAAGGGACTGGAGGCATACGAGTGAGAACGATAGAAACGTCCTGCGCACTCAGCACTCTGCCCTAGTGGTGTGGACAACTCGCTGGCATCCGTTCCTTTAAGAGGAGCCGATGGATTTCGGAGCCGTGCTTTTCCCAAAAATAAAGGACAACTTGACTTAGTCATTAGACCTCCTTTGCCAGTACCAAAATGTAATAATAGGGTTTTTCCCCTTTTTTTCTCGCAATAAACCTGAAACCTTTTTACAAGGATTCATGTCGGCATTAACCACAATACCTGCAGTCAAAATGCAAACAAAAAACATACTATGATAATATATGCATTGTCCTTGAAACTAATTGGTCCACACCAAGGGACGGCTTTCTTTGAGCCTCGACTCAATTGGTGCCCGACCACATGACGCCAAAAGGCGTACAGCTCAAAGACAATGCACTATCAAAGGAATGAGGGCTCGGGGTGAGCATCTACATCATTAGACCTCCTTTGCCAGTACCAAAATGTAATAATAGGGTTTTTACCCTTTTTTCTGGCAACAAAACTGGAACCTTTTTACAAGGATTCATGTCTGCATTAACCACAATACCTGCCGTCAAAATGCAAACAAAAAACATACTATGATAATATCTGCATTGTCCTTGAAACTGATTGGTCCACACCAAGGGACGGCTTTCTTTTGAGTCTCGACCCAATTGGTGCTCGACCACATGACGCCAAAAGGCGTACAGCTCAAAGAAAATGTACTATTAAAGTAATGAGGGCTCGGGGTGAGCATCTACATCATTAGACCTCCTTTGCCAGTACCGAAATGTCATAATAGGGTTTTTCCCCTTTTTTCTGGCAACAAAACTGAAACCTTTTTACAAGGAGTCATGTCTGCATTAACCACAATACCTGCAGTCAAAATGCAAACAAAAAACATACTATGATAATATATGCATTGTCCTTGAAACTGATTGGTCCACACCAAGGGACGGCTTTCTTTTGTGCCTCGACCCAATTGGTGCTCGACCACATGACGCCAAAAGGCGTACAGCTCAAAGACAATGCACTATCAAAGTAATGAGGGCTCGGGGTGAGCATCTACATCATTATACCTCCTTTGCCAGTACCAAAATGTAGTAATAGGGTTTTTCCCCTTCTGGCAACAAAACTGAAACCTTTTTACAAGGATTCATGTCTGCATTAACCACAATACCTGCAGTCAAAATGCAAACAAAAAACATACTATGATAATATATGAATTGTCCTTGAAACTGATTGGTCCACACCAAGGGACGGCTTATTTTGAGCCTCGACCCAGTTTCAAGGACAATGCATATATTATCATAGTATGTTTTTTTGTTTGCCTTTTGACTGCAGGTATTGTGGTTAATGCAGACATGAATCCTTGTAAAAAGGTTTCAGTTTTGTTGCCAGAAAAAAGGGGAAAAACCCTATTATTACAACTTGACTTAGGTTTTATTTACCCTTGCTTGTGATGAATGAATCGGCCGATGCTGGGAGGACCGAGCCTGCCACAGTTGTCTAATGTATGATAATCAATCGGTCAACACGGTCAAGGCAGCAGATGCCGCCAAACCTCGCAATGATTATTTTCTTATTGCACGTGCCACAAAGATCTGCTCTTTCGGTATCCCAACTTCTGTCTTCATGTCTCCCCCTTCGGTCACCAAGAATTCCACTTGTGAATGATGCCCAAATGATTTAGCCACCTACGTTGCAGCAAACAGCATGCGTTGAGTGATTCTCTAGGGAAACTAACGGGTGGCTGAGGACATTGAACTGCCACCTTCGACGAAAGCTGGCTCAGTGAAGAGCATGCTGATACCATGCCACCCAGCCATCCTGTAGTATACAGTGCAATAATATATATATTACATTGTGTGATTTTCTGTAAAATGAGAACACCAATTTCAGCGAATGCATACCTGTCAACCCATATGGTTTACCTGTATTCTTATACAAAGAAATTGAGTTATCAGGTCCATACGGCGTACAGCTGTTTCAAAACGGGCAAAAATAAATGTCTGTTTGTGTTGCTCCCTTGTGATGGGACTTTGTAGGATGAACGTTGAGATTTATAAGATGCACAAGGTAACCAATAAGGTCTGAATTAGTCTGTAAAAAGGAAGGCACTGATAAGGCGTTGACAGTTATGTGAATGTCTTGCGACGAAAACATGAGTGCAATGTTCTTTGGCTGTACAGTATAAGTATGTCACTTGGCCAGGGTGGGCATCAGTAAATAGACCTCAGTGGTACACTCGCGTTTCTTCACGATGACAATGTTTGTCTGCACCTGCCCATGGAAGTGGCTGGGGAAAAGTTCACAATGACCATCTCGTTTTGTTCATCTCTCAGGCGGCTATTGACGGCATTGGTGGCCTGCACACCGACTCTTGTTAACCGATGATCCTCGGTCAATCAGCGGAAGGGTTGCAGTCGCAGTGGGCACCGTAGCTGCAGTGGCTTCACAAAGGCGATTTAAACGATTGAGTCGAAAACATACCTTACATATTTACCATTTCGATAATGGCATTAATATTATGTCACTATTATTATATTTGTATACATATATAGAGGTGGCAGGGTGGCACAGTAGCAACACTTGTGCCTCACTGAAAAAAGGACCTGGGTTCGATTCGCGACGTTTTTGTGTGACGTGTGCATCCATAAGAGTTTTTTGAGATAGATCACGTACAAAAAATGTGTCGTTAATTAGTAAGGTTTGTAACGTAAACAAAATATACAATTAGTTACTAGTTCAGCACATCGGTTGTGTGTTGGAGAGTAAACCCACAAAATTTACAATTCGAGTACCGTGATGTTTCGCTGGTAATTACAACAACTGACCTCATCGGGCGACAGCCAGAAGTGTGGAAAAATCCTCCCCCTGTTCTGCACGGGCTTCCTACAGTTAACTGCTTTTGTTGCATAGTTAAACAGAAAACACACAAATGCACTGCTGTTGGACAAACATAATCATGCTTAAAATGACCTACAAATTACTCAATAGGGATTAAAAATAGCGAGATCGCCCCCCGACTGCGAAAACTTGTCAGGGCCCTTCTGAAAAAGATTTGGCACTCGGCGAGGCTTCCCTGAGTGGACGGGCGGAGTAACAATCACGTCGCTTGCAGAGCCTCCTGCACTCCCCACTGGCACTGGAGGCCACTTTCATAATCCAATTCATGTCACGCCAAGGACTGTTTACTAACTCGCGTCTCTCCATCTGTCTATGTACGTATAGGCATCCACCCATCTGGCCACTGGTCTCTTGGCCAGGGGTTCCCAACATGTGGTCTGCAAGGCCCCCGGGGAAGTGGTCCTCCGCACTGTTGCAGGGTTTTTCTTCTTCCACAGAACGCTTTGTCCTGCACGGTAGTCCGCGAAAGTTTGTTAAGGGTTGGCAATGATCGATGGGTCCATGATGGCTGGGAGCCACTTCTCTAGACACACTTTTACCGACTCTGGACTTGCACGATGCTGCTATGTGCATGATGTCACGTGTCCCACATTATCACCACTTTCTCTTGGTAGAGTTTTGTGATAATCCATTAATTTGATTTTTTTCAATGACATTTTTTGTCAAGTTTAAACAACAAAAAAACCCCACTCACTTTCCTTGTCCCTCAGGTGGTATTCAAAGGACATCTCCCGTTCCATGGCCGAACAGCTGCTCAAGGAAGAGGTTTGCCATCGATTTGCATGCACCGCCATGTCCCCTTTTTCCCGTTACGTGCCGGCGCCATTGGATCCACATTTATTTTCAAATTCGAAAAATAACCCAGCAAAGTACTGGACGCAATTGAGAAACACAAGAATCATCGGCCACCCTACTGTGAAAACTTAGCAGGACCCTCGTGAAAATTTCTTGAGACTCAGTGAGCCTTTGTGTGGGCAAACAATCGTAATAACAATAATTATAATTAAATGCCACTCGTTTATAAATGGTCAAAGGGTGGACCGTATGAATATGTGCATCCATTACCAGACAAACACAGCACCCAAGACATGGGCACAGATGGATGACTGCTCACACGCAATGGCTTGTACAGGTTCTCTGCTGGATGTTGTGCTATGTGTTCATGGGGCGCTGCGTTGTTTTTGCAGGGAAAAGAAGGAGGATTTGTCGTAAGAGACTCGAGCCATGCGGGAGTTTACACCGTGTCCATATACACCAACAGTTTGGGGTAAATACTTGTTTTTAAATTGAGATCTAAACGCTGTGCATCCCTGACCCTGAACCACGTGATTCTGTGCAGCACATTGTGCAATACTGTACTGTCCTCTACAAATATATGTATATGAGACATACATTATTGCCACATAACTGGTATATATTAATACCACCACAGATTGTGATTAGACACAATTGTAACTTCTCTAATATGTTTTTTATTATTACTTTGTATTTTAAATGATTACCAATTGTGCCAATATTTGGTTGATATAAAAAGCACTTCCAATTGATCCAATATTCCACGTGCTGATGGCACTGTATTACGATGTTACTTATACATGACAGAGTTACGTATCGCTTTTTAATGAATACTTGATCGACAAGCTAGGCACTGCATAACAATCACAACGCATGTCCATGTAATAGGTTTAAAAATCGGGCTAGTTTGTTTGCAAAATTCATGTATTTGATCAACACTTCCAACCAACTTCTTTAAGAAATTATCGAGCTGCACGTCTTCTGAAAGATGCGCATCATAAACCAGGCCATACTTGTTCACAAGTGTATAAATCATCATCATCAGCCATTATAATCATCATCAGCCATTATCAATCCACTGTTGGATGAAGGCCTCCCCAAGCAGTCGCCATCTCATGATTCTGCAATGTGTAGCGTCGGATCACGTACGCGCATGTGTAGCGCTGTAGTTGGGCTGCACTTACCCGCAATGGCGGACAGTGCCCATCAGGGGCGGTACCTCGAGCCGGCGGGGAGATCGTTACGATCCCCAGCCCGGGAGGGAGGGGGCTGCGGGGGATCCTGGGATTCCCCGGGGCCCCCACCTCCTGGAAAGGGGGCGTGGCCAGAGGCTGACACACCGGAGAGGCGTATAAAAGTCGGACCTCAACACAGGTTGAGGGCAGAGTTATGAAGACTGAAGACCAGCTAGACTAGGACCCTGGGACCTTGAGCCCGCTGCTCTTGTAAGGGTCGGGTCGAGCTTGGACCAGTGGTCGGACCCGTACCTTGGCTGGGTCGGGTCAGGATAGCCTCCCCTAGGACATGGATAGCCGGAGGGCTGGGAGCCAGCAGGGGGCAGTGTTTAGGTCACGATAGCCCGGAGGCCATACCTCCCTAGATAGGGGGCGTAAGGGACTTGCTGTAGTTAGAAATAAAGATACCGTGTTGCCTCGACCTCAATGTCTCCGTCTCCATAAAATAACTCACTACAAATGCAAGGGCCCACCTATAGCACCTGGTGTACACGAGCTGATTTCATCGCTCCATCTCCTCGGTGATACCCCCTTGGAATTCATTAACATTGATTTACACTGTGTAACAACATTTTTTTTGTTCCTGGGTAGTGTTATTTCCTTATTGCTTATGCCTCAAAAGTACAGAAAATGGCAATTATTCCCCACAAACTTTGCTTTTGTGACCAGGACAGTGATATTTAGAAATGTACCTATTTTCAAGAAGATTCCAGATAGATTTAGTGCTGAGTAAACTTGGAGTAACTTCTAGAACATTCTAGAACTTTCCAGTAATATAAATAGTAGTATACATACAGGGGCCTTAAGCCCACCAGTTCAGTTTAGTTACATCTGCCCAAAGTGGATACATATATGTATTTTTCTGAGGTGGCATCAAGAGGCTGCAAGCATCCGGCAGATGCATTTTGCTATGTCTGCGGCCAATTTATCAAGACAAGAGTGAAAAGTACTCTGTGGAAGCATCTGCTAAGATGTGTGAGGCCTACAAGGCATATTTCGGCATGCCTGTCAGGGATCAAGACAAACCCTGGGCATCTCATTTCACCTGCGAGCAATGCAAAAAAACTCTGGAAGGTAAGATGTACAATTGTTGCTCAGAAATTTATGTTATAAAATTTGTTAAAATTTGTAAAATTGCAAAAGTTTTTAATTTTAAAATGTTTTACAATTTTCAATGTTATTGAAAAAAATATATCATTTTAAAAATGTTGCGAGAATCTCTTATACATTAGTCATGGGTGAAATAAATGTATTTTTGTAGGATGGTACAGAGGGGAAAAAAGAGCCATGAAGTTTGCATATCCCAAGAATTTGGCGGGAACCCACTGACCACTCAAGCAACTGCTACTTCTGCATGGTGGACCCTTCCAAACGTCAGAGTTGAAAGAATGCACCTGCTATCACGTATCCGGACCTTCATCCATTGCCCCGGTGCCACACTGCCATGAGCTCCATGTGCCCACTCCTACGGAGAGAGAGCAGCCATCTTTATAAGAGAGCAAGTCAGAGAGCGAGGAAGACGTAAATTCAGATGACAATTTCAGAGTTGGAGCTGAGGAGAGAAATCCATACAACCCCAACCAAAAATACCTCAACGACTTGATCAGAGATCTCGGTCTCACCAAGTCCAATGCCGAGCTTTTGACGTCGAGGCTCAAGCAGTGGAACTTGTTGGATGAAAGTGTGCAAGTCGCAGATCAGAGGAAGCGTCACCAACCTTTTTGCAGCTTCTTCACCCGTCAAGATGAGCTCTGCTTCTGCCACAATGTCTCTTCGAGGCAATCGGAATCGCCTGTAACCAGAATAAGTGGCGCCTCTTAATTGAAAGCTCATCCAGGAGCCTCAAAGCTGTGCTGCTCCATAATGGTAACAAGTAGCCGTCTCTTCACTTGGCTCACTCGGTGCACCTCAAAGAGGATTACAACAGCATTAAGACCTTACTGGACGCCTTGAAGTATGATGAGTACTGCTAAGAGGTCATCGGAGACTTGAAAATGCTGGCATTCCTGATGGGTCCCCAAGGCGGTTTTACAAAGTTTTCCTGCTATCTTTGCCTTTGGGGCAGCAGGGACACCAAGGCACACTATCCACAGGCGGGACTGGCCACAGCGGACCGAGTTCTCTGTGGGGAGGAACAACGTCTAGTGGGAGCCACTGGTGGACCCCCGGAAGATGCTGATGCCACCAATGCACATCAAATTGGGCCTTATGAAACAATTTGTCAGAGCTGTAGATAAGGAGTCGGCAGCCTTCAGGTACCTTCAGGACTTCTTCCCTAGCTGTCTGAGGCAAAGGTCAAAGCCGGTGTCTTCGTCGGACCACAGATAAAGAAGATCCTGGAGTGTAATTAATTCCCCGAGAAGCTCACTAGTAAGGAGAAAGCGGCTTGGAACAGCTTTGTCGCAGTGGTTCGTGACTTCCTGGGCAATCACAAGGTCGAAAACTATGTGGAGCTGGTTGAGACTCTGGTGAAGAACTATGGCACACTGGGCTGTAGAATGTCCCTCAAAGTCCATATCCTTGATGCTCATCTTGATAATTTCAAGGAGAACATGGGAGCGTACTCGGAGGAGCAAGGCGAGCGGTTCTAACCAGGATATACTGGACTTTGAACGCCGCTAGCAAGGACAGTATAATGAGAACATGATGGGAGACTAAATTTGTTGGCTGATTCGTGAAAGTGATTTACAGTATAATCGTAATTCTCGAAAAACTACTCACTTGTAAATCTTTTGTAGCCATTTTTGTATTGCTTCAGGAGAATACATGTTAATTTTGATTCATATATTGTTTTTTATGACTTTATGTGAATGAAAAGACACAAATTTTATCATTGAAAATAGGCAAATTTCAAAATATCACTGTCCTGGTCACAAAATCAAGTTTGTGGGGAATAATAGCCATTTTCTATACTTTATAGGCATAAGCAATTACAAAATAACACTGATTACCCAGGAACAAAAATTGTGTTACGTAGTGTTATTTTATGTATTTATTACGTGTTTGAGTGCAAAGTTTATTTTATAAATGCAGACATAAGTTCTGGATTCAAAATATCAGTTTAAGTGTAATTTTTGCTATATGTCAATCGATACCCTGGATACCCTTGCAAACGCGATGCTCCATCTCAAATAATTATTCCGGTGAAATACTTAAAATAAGTAAAATATGTCAATGCGTCGCTTTGCTTTCCACTGCAGTGACACTGGCGTTGTGAAGCACTATCAGATCAAGGAAGTGTGTGAACCACAGAGGATGTACTACGTTGCTGAAAACCACCTCTTTGAAAACATCCCGAATCTCATCAACTATCACCAGCACAACTCGGCAGGTACCAACACGGTTTCAAGTTTACTCGGCTTTTTTATCGTGAAAAACGCGAGAGATCAAGATAGTCGCGTTTTGCAAGTGACTACCTGCCATCACCAGAATTGACAAAAGCGGCAACACAAAAGATGGGCGCGGGTACAACCATGAAGCAAAGCGACATCGGCAGGGCACGGACATCCAACAGTGCCACGAGAGGAAAGTCACCGCACGAGTGCTTCGCTTCCCGCGTGGCGAGAGGGCACTGACCTTGGGCGAGACGTTGGTCTTGCAGAATTTTTTTTCAAACCCAAGTTCGAGTATGCAATAAAAAAAAACCCCAGCAACAGCTTCTCCTGCAAGAGAGGAACTGCGTTAACTTTAAAATGATGACATCCCAACACACATTTGTGGGAGTAAGGTAGCAGAGGTTTTTTTGTTGTTAGTATAAACCAACACAAGTTTATAGCATAACATTTAGAACCCAATTTTTGTGTTGGTTAGAAGTGCCCATTGCAGAAAAGTCTCATGGTATAAACTAACATCAGTTAATGTTTAAGCACCGGTGGCCCAATTTATGGTTTGAGGCACAAATGAAGGCATGGACAAAAACACGGACAGAAAGAGAGCTGGGAGAGAAAGGCTAACAGAAAGTGATAGCAACAGGGACACGTATAAACAAATATAGAGCAAGACACGGCGAGTGAGAGATAGAGACATATTTAGAAAGGCACAGAGAGATGAATGTACAGAGTATAATGATGATCAGGATAGACGTGGAGAGAGAGCAACTCAGAGACAAAGACACGTGGAGCCTCGAGCAGTCAAGCTCCACGTGACTCCACCTCAGGCTGACTGCGCATAACGACTCGCCCGACTACAAACTGAAACTGGAATAATCATAGGGATTACCACGACTTGTGTTTTGTAATCTGGTTCCGGTAACATGATACTCCGCAGTAGTGGCATACGTGACTACATCATCACAGGTGGGGGCCCCAATATTTGATTTGAGGAAGCCAAACGTTGCTGCTGCTCTAATGAAATTAAAATAAAACGTGGAACGTAAATGAAAGCATTTGCATAAGCAAAAACTCAAACCGCATTTTAAGTGTTGTTCGTTTTACACTGTTGTTGAAAAACAGATCTCATGCTGGTTGTCAACTGGGGTGGGGGGGGCAACTCGTAGCTTTGGCCACCAGGGGGAGGGGAGGGGGCAAGGCACCCCCAGCCTGCCCCACGCGAGTTACGCCGCAGCTCTGCAGCATTGACGGTAGACTTTGTTGTGCTCACCGCAATACCATGCAATCCCTTCAGGGCTGGTGGCGCGGCTGAAACATTCGGTGTTGTCACGGGCCAGGACGGCATCTTTCTCCTCAGGCCAGAGCAGTGAGTCACGCAAGTATTTGATGGATCACAGCACCACACACTTCCTCGTAAGTCTGCACGGTTGATGAGTAGAGCACCTAGCGCTACTTGAATGCCACCTACTGCTGTTACGGCATTGTGTCGTCATATCGGGTTTTCATAAAAACAAAATTTCAAGATGCAAAGTGGTTGCATGTTGGTCTTACATAAGCTACGGTTACACGAGCGTGGCAGGGTAATGGAATAGGACTCTTCTTATCGTTCTTGATATTTGGGGCATTTGCCCACAAAATAGCTCCCCTTATCCACGTGAAGACCTTAGATACACGCTGGTAAGAGGAATTTGCAATAACTCCTGTCTCATTGAGGCCTTCAAGGGAAAAGCTCCACAAATTATTGTTTATTATCAACTAAGTAACATTTCTATGACCTTTATGGAAATGATATTGATATTCACGAGATAGATTTTTACAAAATATTTCATACATTGCCCAATTTTAAAGTAATTTGAATGTTTAAGAATGTGGCTATGACATTGACACCCAGTGAAGGAAGTGCTGTACTAGGGGTTTTGACGTTTACTTTGTGGAAATATACTTTTAAAACATTATTTGGGTCTTTCGGTAAAGCCACGTAGATAGAAATATAATAAAATTAATAAAATAATAACAATATCACGACGTTTCGATCACAACACAAGCAATCGTCATCAGGTGAAAAATATAGCAGAATAGCTGCTGAGGCAGGAAAAAATTTATGGCGGGAGCGCTGCTAAGGCAGGGTGTTAGAAAGGTTTGAGATGGGTGTAGCCCAAGGGTCCATGGGCGGGTCTAGAGATTAAATTTGCATGTAAATGTAAGATCTGAGAAATCTTGACAAACGAAGCTGTGGGGGTGGCCATTGTATTTTGAGAGATTAGCATGTCAATGTAAGAAATATGCTTGTAAATGTAAGATCGGAGAGAGCTCTGAAAGAGCCACCGCCACATCGAGGAAAGTGAACAACGGTGGCTGTGTGAGTCAATGTAACTCAGAGAGTCGAAAATAACTGCTAACATATGCAGGTAAGAAGGGAACATCACAGCCAGTGGTGTAGCCCAAGGGTCCGTGGGCGGGTCTAGAGATTAAATTTGCATGTAAATGTAAGATCGGAGAAATATTGCCAAACGAAGCTGTGGGGGTGGCCATTGTATTGTGAGAGATTAGCATGTCAATGTGTAGTGAGTTCAACTGAGGCGCAGATGTCTTGGGAGCAACACGTTTTATTGAACTCTTTGCACAGCATACTCCAAGCTATTAACAAAACATACTCTTGGGTGGTGACCACCCAACTAATCACGCTACGGCGGAACTAGACACGGTTCCACTATCCTGGTCCGGACCACAAGCTGGGTCCTGGACCGCGTGGCTGGAGGCTTATTCAAGCTTGATGTGGATCTCCTGCCTCTCCAATAGCAAGAACCCCGAGCCCCTCACAGGGCCCTCCTCATATCGGGCCGAGCTGGGGCTGGCTCCGCCTCTCGCCCCGCCCACCTTCTCGATCTCTCTCACCGCCCAAAGGCTCTTGAGAGTTCTTCTCGGACCATGTGACCACCCATTGGCCCCCTCCACCGATGGTCCCCCTCCAGTATCATCCGGTCACATGTCCCCGGGTCAGCCAGAGTATCATGCCCCCAACGTAACCCCAGCTGACACTCTCTTGCTCTCTCAATAGGAGCTTGCACTGCACGCTGTGCATGGCCACCGCGATTAACCAGCGCTCACCCAAGCACCCACTAGGACTGGTACTACATTCCGTGTCCGGGTTGTACACACAACAGTATACATCCCGCTGTGGCCTTGCAGGCCCGGTACCACACAGTGACATTTCCAGTCACTACAAATGTAAGAAATTTGCTTGTAAATGTAAGATCAGAGAGAGCTCGGAAAGAGCCACTGCCACATCGAGGAACGTGAACAACGGTGGCTGTGTTAGTGAATGTAACTCATAGAGTCGAAAATAACTGCTAACATAGGCAGGTAGGAAGGGAATGTTACAGCCAGTTATGACCTAAACTGGTTAATAACGTCCTTCCAATGATTGCTCAGTTTGTACCCATCTTCTCGGTTTAAATTGTCTTTATATATCTGGATGGCTTCATGAACGAATCTCTGCTGATAGCCAGTGGATTTGCAGAGTACCTTCGTCTTGGCAAAATAAATGTCACGTGTGCCCGCTGCGTTAAAACAATGATCAGCCACAGCCGAGGTATTGGTCCTACCATGTTTCAGATCTGCCTTATGTTCACGAACCCGGTCCGAGACATGTCGCTTAGTTTCCCCAATGTAACTGCCGCCGCAGACACAGCTCAGTTTGTAGATGCCGGGGTATTGCATGTCAGGGATCACATCCTTCACAGATGGGATCAAATCACAAATTTTATGTACTATGTTGAATCGCACCTGGATCTTGTGTTTGCTCATGATTTTGGAAATATTTTTGGTGACCCCTGATATGTATGGCAAGGTGATGATTTGATGGGGTCCTCAGATGGTTCTTTCCCAACGGTTGGGGTGATAGCTTTACGTATTGTGTAGTCTGAAACACCCAATTAAATACATTCACTGTTTAGAGGCTTCCCATTTGAATATTTTGATAAAAATCAAGGAGCACGGTTAGACTGACAGTAAAGCGTGGAGACATTCTTGAGTACAGGTATCCTTTCAGTTACAAAAATTACCCTGCAATTTACACAATTTTATTATGCATAGCAACATCAATCCTAAAAGAGGATTCAGACACAGTGAGACTTTCCTGGGTAAACAAGTATATTAATATTATTAACATCAGTTACTCAGTCATGATTGGTTATACGGGTATCCCTAGATTTACGAAAGGGATACGTTTTTCAAAAATCGCACGTAAAACTAAATTTCGTGAATCCAAATGGATTTACCCATTAAATGAATACTTAAAATTATGGACGTGCTTCGGACAGTCATTCCAACTCTTTTCCTCACCTAAAACATAATACACCTACATCACCCTTCACCATATAAAAATTATAATAAAGAACATAAGTATTAAAACGATTTAATAATAACTAATTTAAAACAAAATAGTTCACCTTTTCAAGGAACTCGCCAAAAGATCTGCTGCATGTTGGAATGACTGGCAAGGCGATGTGGAGGTGTTACTGTTACATTGCAAGGCACCGCGACGCTCTCGTGGATGGATGACCACGCAGCCTCCCGGGTGGCTTCTTGTTTGATGATCTCGTGGCGCATACCGCGTGAAATATCGTTCACGCGGAATTTCGGTTTTGTTCATCGAAAATTGTCTATAGTTTGGTAATTGCGTTCCCGCGAAATTTCGTAAACTGAATGTTCGTGAATCAAGGGATACCTGTTTATGAACTTTAATTAAGGGTGATGTGCCATTTACTGATGTGAAGGTGAGAAGGTGCGAATTCAGTGGAGCAGAGTCAGTGGAGGAAACACGAGAAAGACGAAGGCAAATTAAGAGATGTTGTTAAAGAGCAGGTCAAGAGTGACCCGGGTCACCAACATGAGAAAAAACAAGAACATTAACAAGTACAACGATGAAGCTAATTGAATTAAGTGCAGTGTAATCACAGACATCAGAGTGGAGCTCATCTCCTGTCCACAGCCCTGAGCCAGTGGTGGAAACCCCAGCTGCCTATGATGGGAACAAGTCCCTCCAAAGGGTGACCACTGCTGACTTCCCCACAAAATGGCACCCACTCCATCTTCCCCCATAGGGGCAGGACAACGGGAGTTGGACCCTGTGACTGGTTTTGTGTTTGTTGGTGGGCAGGTCAATGGGACTGGTTTTGTGTTTGTTGGTGGGCAGGTCAATGGGAGATCGACCCGAGTGAGCTGAGCCTCCTGCAGGAGCTGGGGAGCGGTCAGTTTGGCGTGGTGCGTCTAGGCGTGTGGAAGCGCGTACGAGGCAACGTGGCCATCAAAATGCTGCACGAGGCCACCATGTCCGAAGACGACTTCATTGAGGAGGCAAAGACCATGATGTGAGAGCGGCGGGACTCGTCCCATGTTCACCCTTTCACAGCCAATGCATTGTTTTTAATCTCGACATCACCGTGCAGCCAACCACTGTTTTTAATGACAGTAATTCTGTAAGGTTTATTTTGGTAAATGCAACTTCTCAACCCCTTATCAGTGCCTACCTTATTACAGATCAATTTAGACGTAATTGGTCACCCCGTGCTCTTATGAATCTTAACGTGAATCCTACAAAATCCCATCACAACGGAGAAACACAATAGACAAAAAATATTTTGCCCATATTGAAATGGCTTTACGCCGTATGGACCTGAAAACTCAATTTCGCTGTACAAGAATACGGGTAAACTGTATGGGTTGACAGGTATGTAAATATGAATTAACTAGCCTTTTCCCTTCCAAGGACAGGTGTATTGCAGTAAATTTGAAACTTGCAAGCGAAAAGCAGACCACGGGGTGACCAGCCCCTCCCCACCCAGCCCCACCCCTCACCCAGCCCCACCCTCCCCACCCAGCCCCTCCCCACCCTCCCCTGCCCACCCAGCCCCACCCTCCCCACCCTCCTGTCCCCAAACAGCCCCTCCCTCCCCACCCAGCCCCTCCCCACCCTCCCCTCTCCACCCACCCCTCCCATTTTTGGATGCACGACGGACGGACACAATAATGCCCTGTGGGCTGGTGTAACCAGGAGGTTCCTACCAGTATTAACTCACGTGAACGAAAACTAAGCTCCATGTATTTTTTTTTATTTTAGCAGGTAAGACTCACTCCACTGAGCTATGTAGCTCTTTGCCAGAAGCGACCTGCCCACAAATGATAGCTTACTGAAGTGACTTATCATGTGGGAATTTATAGGAGCAGCCAAAAATACTCTTAACCAGTGGTTCTTAACCTGGGGTGCACGCACCCGCTGGGGGTGCAAAATGCCCATTCTGGGAGTGCGAGACATGGCAGATCTTTTTAGAAGGTAAATTATCGAAAAACGAATTAAGCACATGCACGAAAGCACACCGAATTTGTTTCATCAAACCTATGTATTTATTAACATATATATTTACGATTGAGAACCAAAAAGTAGCAATGCTGCAGTTAAGGTAAGAAACCACTGCTCTAAACGCATGATTTCTAGATGTGGAGGGAGTTTGCATGTCCACGGGGAGGGCATACGAACTCCTAATATACAGGCGTCAGAGTCGGGATCAAACCCACGACCTTTATGTACACCAGGAGGAGGGCACGAGGGTTACAGGGGTTCAGCAGAGCCGGCAGCCCGACTGGGGCAGTTAAAGTCAAAATTTAAAAAAACCACGAGGGCCTTGCCGCTGATACCACCATACCTCGCCTTGCCACACCTATTGCACTGCTCATCGTGACTTTTTCTGATTAGAGAGTTCCCTCGTTCTTCGCGATGCATACGTTGTTCCGGAGATTTCTCGTGAACAGCAAATTTAGTGGATGATATTGGCCTTCGAACATCGTACACACGTCTGCAGGTTTTTCTAAAGCTTCGAGAAGTTCTCTCATCACTTTATCTCATCAATTTATCAATTTTTCGTATCACATTCTCTCTCATCACTTTCTCTCGATGCAGTTGTGTCGAGTATCAGATGTGATTCCCGGATAGCCAAAGCGCGGTTAGTAAGTTCATGAATAACGTCATTTATTGTTTGAAGTAAAGTTCTATGTTGAACATTTCAACTGCATTGCTCATTGTTTGCGACACTCACACAATATTGAGCCGTTACCGTCAATCAAGACCCACTCAATGTTACTTTGGTGCAGGCTGGGGGGACAGCCTGAGGCCTGACCTAACCTCCTCCCTTCTTTGCCTGGATGGCCCAGCCAAAATGCTGGAGCCAGGCTGGAGATCTAGGCTATCACTACGAAAAACGCAACTTTGCGAAGAGAAATTCGGTCGAAGTGAGAAACTACATGTAGAATAACCGAGAGTAAGTAGCAAAAATGTATTAATCCTGATATTAAATGTCTCAGAGCAACACAAATAAAAGCAATTCTGTAAGAAGACTGGAGGAAAGCCGCATCATCGTCGTCATCATCACCTGTTGCCCAGTAGTCTGGAGGCTGCCAGGTGGCCAGCATATGGCAGTACATCAAGTGGGTTTGTGAGCCTCACTGGGCATGCATTCTCCAGGTAGTTAATCGGCTTTCCTTGCAGACACGAAACAGCTGACAAGAGAGTTGGCCAGGTATCCCACTGAGGACCTTGCTGAAACTCTCCAGTTGCAAAAAAGCTTTTTTCCTTGACAAATACATGAATATACACCGGTATCAGAGTTTAATATCCTTTACAACCATTTTCAAGTAGCCATCCCATGCATAATTTACATTTCCTGGCATTATTGGTTTGATCATCCACTGATTTGATTCCTTATTTTTCCGTAATTTTATTCAATGTGAAGCAGCAGTTAGGGTGACTGTTGATGCAGCACTCAATTATTCACTCGTCACTCGCTCACCGACAGTCAGTCGCCTCCTTATCACTCTTCCATCGCTACTACCACGCTTAATATTCCTGTGAACTTCACTCATTCATTCCTCCAGCCATGTTGAGGGCACGGTCTACCAGACTGCTTGGTCTCATCCACACTGCGTCCACTCACCACCCTGCAGGTCAAAAGAACTCTCTCTTCCATCCACTCACCACCCTGCAGGTCACAAGAACTCTCTCTTCCATCCACTCACCACCCTGCAAGTCACAAGAACTCTCTCTTCCATCCACTCACCACCCTGCAGGTCACAAGAACTCTCTCTTCCATCCACTCACCACCCTGCAGGTCACAAGAACTCCTCTTCCATCCACTCACCACCCTGCAGGTCACAAGAACTCTCTCTTCCATCCACTCACCACCCTGCAGGTCACAAGAACTCTCTCTTCCATCCACTCACCACACTGCAGGTTAAAAGAAGTCACTCTTCCATCCACTCACCACCCTGCAGGATACAAACACTTATCTTTCTGCTTTTCTGGCACTGCTCAACTTTTGAATTACCTCCCATTGTTTATTTTCCCAAGCTTTTAATCCATTCAAGTTACGTATTAACTCTTATCTACGACTTGAGTAGATGCTGGTTGTTGCTGTCCGCTTGAGGTTTTGAGATTGTGCATATTTGAAGTTTGCAGGTTCTCTCCGTGGTCTTGTGGACTTTTCTCCAGATCTTTCGGTTTTTACCTCCACATTTATAAACATGCGTTTAGATTATTTGGCTGCGATACATTTTCACGTGATAAGCCACTTCATTGAGCTATCATTTGTGATAGTCAGGTCGCTTCTGATAAAGAGCTACATAGCTCAGTGGGCCTTACCTGGTAAAATAAGAAATAGTTTAGTTTTAGTTTAGTTCAAACTAGATTCGAAGCTTTCGTGACTGCAGGAATTACTCTTTGGTTCTTCGGTAAAGTCACGTAGAAAATAAAATAATAACACAACTCTCCGTGTTGTATTGCATTATATTTCTAAGTTTACTATGTTTGTTTTCTCATTCATTCTTACCTGATGATGGTTGTTTGTTTTGCAATCGAAACGTCGTATTCTATTATTATTTAATTTTATTTTCTACGTGACTTTACTGAAAGAACCAAAGAGTTTAGTTTAGTTCTTTTGCAAAGTCATACTGAGCAGCTCTGCAGTGTTAACTGCAGCTGTGTCACATCATTGGCACTGCTCCTACTCTAGCTGCAAAGCGGAACCGAGGTTTTAAACAGATTAAAATTTTACGTGACCCTCGAATGCTCCACTGTGGAAATGGGTTAGAGCAGTGGCTCTTAACCCGGGGGTGCATGCACCCCCTGGGGGTGCGAGATGCCCTTTCTGGGGGTGCGAGACATGGCCAGATTTTTTTAGAAGGTAAATCATCGAAAACGCAAATTAAACACGGGCACGTAAGCACAACTACTTTGTTTTTATCAAATGTATGTATTAACGTTTAAACACGATAGAACCAAAGTAGTGCAAGGCTGCAGTAAAGGTTAAGAGCCGCTGGGTTTGAGAGATTATCCACACCCCCACGCCGGCTCGGTTCGAGCGATCGTTGGCCCCCCCGCCGCAGTGATGCGCGACGCGGCCCTCCTCGTCTTTGTGCCGCCAGGAGGCTGTGGCACCCCAAGCTCGTGCATTTCTATGGGGTGAGCTGCCGCAAGAGGCCCTTCCTGCTCGTCACCGAGTACATGGAGGCCGGCAACCTGGAGAGCTTCGTACGGGAGCGGCGCGGCGCCAACTCGGCCTCGCAGCTCCTGCAGATGTGCGCCGATGTGTGCGAGGCCATGGCCTACCTGGAGAGGGAAAGCTTCCTGCACAGGGACCTGGTCGGTTATGTCCCCCTTCCCCTCCCCCAAAGCATCAATAGCTCTCGCAGTTGTTGTTACTATTATTGGGATTATTACAGGATGACTCCAGTCATCCGCCAACTCTCCAACACCGTTTTTTTGTTGTTGCAGATAAGAGGAGTTGTGTGGCAAATCCATCCTATTATTCACAGGGGTATCCACAAATACCCCACGCATAAGGGGAGTAACATCGCAGATAACCCAACGGGATAATAGGATCTGTGATATTGTGCACTCATATCAATGCGGAAGAGAAGAGTTCTAGAGTGATTTTCCGATGGATAGCATGTCCCTGCCATAGGAATGTGGATTTTCTCCAACTGATGTGAAATTTTTGTTATTGTTAATCATTTGTACTGTTTCGAGTAAACTAGCCTTGTTTGATATTAATACTTGGGATATCTATCCAAAAAAATGTATTTAATTCACGGTGACATGATCGCTTGTGAGAGCAGCACACTGGGTGCTGGTGCTTTAGCCAAAATATCAAATCTTAAAATGACCTGCACTCAGCCGTTGCGATGGTCGATTGCACTTTGCTTAACCAGGTGAGCACTTTGCAAGAGTGAACCTGGGTCACCAAAAGGACAAAAACGTGGAAATAAGTACAACAGTGATCCAAATAAAAAAAACAAATAAACATTTGAGCAAGGAAAACTGCCTTCCGAAATAAATAAAAAATTGTATACAAACATAAGCGATATTAAATTGAAATGTATTTCCAGTATAAAAATTTGGCTCAGATAAATTACCTTTAAAAAACATAGTAAATTGATTTACAGGAACGTCAAAATACATTTAGGGTAATAATGTCAAATACACCTCCATAAGTAACATACAGCAAGAAACTTCCTCTACTTATGAACGAATTAGGTTCGAGAGATCTGTTCGTAAATCGATTTGTTCATAAGTACAACTTTACTCCTATCGATTCCAGACATGGTGTACGGCATGTACACTAAACACAGGGAATGGCTTTAAAAACTGTATAATCTCCTATAGATGCCAATAGTTCTTCACGTTCTGCAGATGTAACTGCCACTACCGCCATCTATTGCGCGACGGTTGAACTTACGACTCTCGGTCCGAACAGGCAACTGGACATACGGATAGGGTTGTTCATATGTCTGAAAGTTCGTAAGTCAAATGTTCGTACGTAGAGGAGTCCCTGTATGTGGCAAAGTCACCTCGATTAGCATCGTATCCACCGTTTCCACGGTGTCTCTCGCACGCACGAGCGAGCTTCAAGGGCTCTCGTGCATCAACTCCAAGCTCGTGGACTTCGTTGTGCTGCTGCCGTATGTCCCAGGCTGCTCGGAACTGCCTGGTGAACGCACAGGGGACGGTGAAAGTGTCCGACTTCGGCATGAGCAGGTGAGGCGTGATAGACGATTGGAACAAAATAAAGCAAAGACAGAGACCCCCCCCCCCGTATAGTCTTAACAACGATTGGGACAAGTGCTGTTAGCGAACAGTATGAATTGCGGCACGGCATACACAGGGTTGGGATGGCCAGTTCCATGCCCGGCCACCTTTGTCTCCCCAGTTCTGATGTTTACACACCACACCAGGTACTCATTTGAGGCTGAGTCAACCTAGGAGAGGCCCAGGGCCGGTTCAAATAATTACTATCGTCACTGATGTTGGGGTGTGAAGGAATCGAACTCGGGTTGTCGGGTTCGCAGTGCATTGAGCTAACCGCTGGCTACCTCTACAGTGCATCAAAAATCCAGTGCAAAAAACCTGAAGCAATCAATGTCAAAGACAGTGCGTACATTATTATAAAGTGTTTGCATATTTTTGCCACAAGTATGTGTGGTTAATGCAGACTTGATGCATCTTAACACCTCCTGTTTTATTGCCAGAAAGGGTAAAACCTATTCTTATTTTCATCATACTGGCAAAAAGGTCTCAGATATAAATGCCCGACCCGAGCTATAAGTGTTCTAATACTTGATTGTCTTTTTACTGTTCGCCTTTTGGCGTTCTCTGGTCTGACGCTCGGCCATAAAGAAGGCTGTCTCTGGTGTAGGCCAATCAATTTAAAAAAACAACGCATACATAAAATCAGTGTTTGCATGTTTTCCACAAGTACGTGGATGGTTAATGTAGACTTGATGCCTTGCAAAAGGTATTCATTTGGTGTTTGAACATATTAACACCTGTTTTATTGCCAGAAAGGGTAAATAATATTCATATTCATCATTAATAAACATCTTTAATAAACTCGTAAAACCCGTCGATCCAGTTCACCATGGAAGTTGACAGAACTCTCCCATTTCTGGATATTCTGCTCGGGCGCGGCCGAAATGGTAAAATAACACCATGTTTCCTGATAGAAAAAGCACACTTAACGACAATCTGAATGCAGTCACACCATACTATAAATATCCTCATGATAAGCCACTTTGCTGAGCTATCATTTGTGGCCAGGTCGCTTGTGAGAAAGGGCTATATAGCTCAGTGGAGTGGGTGTTACCTGGTAAAATAAAGTAAAAATGTTTGATGGATTTTTATAATAGTTTGTGACGTAGCAGTAGGTAGCGAGTGGTGCGGCGGTGCAGTGGGATGTTGCCACGCAGCAGTGGGATGGGGTGTGGCGTGAGAGGTGTCTCGGGGCGCGTAGCACAACGCTGCTGCTGTTGTTGACTGCTGGTCGAGTTGCCCTCGAAATAGAGCTTCTCAGCTCAATGGGTTTTACTCGTGGGGGGGGGGGTACACTGCTGAGCTTCTGAAACTTGTGAACGTGTGGCTGTGATTGTGCGGCAGGTACGTGCTGGACGATCAGTACACCAGTTCCTCTGGCACCAAGTTCCCCGTGCGCTGGTCACCTCCCGAGGTCTTCCTCAACAACAAGTTCAGCAGCAAGTCGGACGTGTGGGCCTTCGGTAAACGGTCCACTTAACGCCACCGGAAACTACATAGATGACGGTGAAGGAACTGACATCCTCTGCAACGAATGAGACTCCCTATTGTTAGTGGTTGTAGTGAGTCCAACTGAGTCGCAGATGTTTTCTTGGGAGCAACACGTTTGATTTGACTCTTAGCACAACATACTCCAAGCTATTAACACAACATACTCCAGGCTATTAACACAACATACTCTAGGGTGGTGACCACCCAACTAACCACGCTACGGCAGAACTAGACACGGTTCCACTATCCCGGTCGGGACCGCAAGTTGGGTCCCGGACCGCGTGGCTGGAGGCTTCTTCAAGCTTGACGTGGATCTCCTGCCTCTCCAACAGTAAGAACCCCGAGCCCCTCTCAGGGCCCCCCTTATATCGGGCCGGGCTGGGGCTGGCTCCGCCTCTCGCCCCGCCCACCTTCTCGATCTCTCTCGCCCTTGCCCGAAGGCTCTCGAGAGTTCTTCTCGGACCATGTGACCACCCATTGGCCCCCTCCACCGGTGGCCCCCCTCCAGTATCATCCGGTCACTTGTCCGCAGGTCAGCCAGAGTATCATGCCCCCAACGTAACCCTAGCTGGCTGACACTCTCTCGCTCTCTTAACGGGAGTTCGCACCGCACGCTGTGCGTGGTGCCACCGCGCTTAACCAGCGCTCGCCCAAGCCCCCACTAGGGCTGGTACTACATTCCGTGTCCATGGGTGTACACACAACAGTAGACATCCCGCCATGGCCTCGTAGGCCCGGCACCACACAGTGACATTCCCAGTTACTCCATGGTTATTACACTTGTTCACCCAGGAAGTCTTCACTGAGTCTCAACACTTTTTTTAAGGAGGGTCCTGTTAGGTTTCGACCATAGGGGGTGACGGTACCTGTTTGTTTGCCTATTAAATCATTGGTGAATATTTTTGTTTGTTTGACAACTTTGGATCATGACGCGAGCACACTGTAGCCTATTATTTGAATGACATCACGAGATTTAAATTTCGATTTAAAGCTTTCGTGACTGCAATGATTCATCTTCTTTGGTTCTTTCGGTAAAGTCACGTAGAATGAGAATAAAATAATAAATTGATAAAATAAAATAACACAATAATATTCTCACGACGTTTCGGCCACAACACAAGCGGCCTTCATCAGGTGAAGGGACGAGACAGCTCCAGCGCTGTCCTACCAGACAGTCTCGCTCCCTTCACCTGATGAAGGCCGCTTGTGTTGTGGCCGAAACGTCGTGAGAATATTATTGTGTTATTTTATTTTATCAATTTATTATTTTATTCTCATTCTACGTGACTTTACCGAAAGAACCAAAGAACATCACGAGATCTTTAAAGTCCACTCTGAAGTTGATGGCGAGTAGTATTCATGATTCATAAACCTGCAGTATTTACAAGGGTGGCCTTCTGGATTCGAACTGCAAACCTCTGCAACAAGTGGTCAACGTGCTATGGCTGAGCCATGTCAATAAATATAAGCAGGCCTTCCTAAATGTAAAATAATACAAGATATGTATGCTTGTGTGCGGCCTTTGTGAATGTTGTAATGCAGTACAATATATGAAAGGGCTTTGATAACCTCTAGATTGGTTTGTGACTTTAAGCAAGACATGGAAGATATGCCGACCACTCAAGTAATTGTGTAATGGAAATCAAACGTGTGTTAGATGATAGATTAGACATCAGTAGTTTGAGGTAAGGACTGGCTGCCAGTGGTTAAGGGTGGGGCTTTTGGCGCTTAATCACGTGTCAACGGAACTGCATTTTGGTAGCTACAACATTGCACATATGTTGTGCCTACAAGCATCCAGACCTCGTGATGCACGTTGTAACGTGTTATTTTGTTACACAGTTGCTAAGCACAGGCCCAAAGCAGCCAGGAACAGAGAGGACTATCAAAGTAAGAATCAACACGTGTCTTGAATGGAGCGAGATTATACGGAACGGCTTGTTAAATCAGACAATGGGAGGGAAATTCTAAAGTCGATCAGTGCGAGGCAAGAAGCATGAAGAGAATGTTGCAACCTGCAGTGTGGTGAGCGAGTAGGTGAGTGGGTGAGTGAGTGTGTACTTGTGAGCTACAGTGTCGTGAGTGAACACAGTACGGATGTAACAAACAGTCAGTCTGGTTGACCAAGTTCTCAACATGGGTGGAGGAATCAGTGTGAAGTTCACGGGAGCAGTGACCATGGTAGTAGCAATAGCAGAGTGACAAGGTGGCGACCGACTGCTGTCCTGTGCGCCTGACTGTCGCAGGGATACTCATGTGGGAGGTGTTCTCGGAGGGGATGCTTCCGTACGATCCGTGGAGCAACAGTAACGTTGTGGAGCAGGTGCAGGCCGGGTACCGTCTCTACCGGCCTGAGCGTGCAACCCAGCCTGTGCACCTCATCATGCACAGCTGCTGGCACGAGGTATGCAATGCCGCACTCGCTCGCCACGTTGTATCATCACCGCGATCTGCGGTCCTGGCTATCGGCCTTGCCCATGACCGCCACCTTTGCGTTTTCACGAAAATGAGATTTAATCTGGTTGAAAAGCAATACTGTGAACCTCCCATTGTATTGACTCTGCAACTATGATGAAATACACAACACCAAAGAATAATTGTCTTCGTTGTGGAGAATATAAATAACATAATAAATAAGCAGACAATGTCTCGTTCACATATCTGTCCCTCCACAAAAAAATGAAAGTATTTATTTACAAATCCCATCAGCCACGCGGCCTCCTGGCAATGTGTAATCATGCTAGCGCAACTATTTAACTATATATTTTAAACTAGATTCGAAGCTTTCGTGACTGCAGGAATTTCTCTTTGGTTCTTTTGGTAAAGTCACATAGAAAATAAAATCAAATAATAGAATACGACGTTTCGGTCGCAACACAAGCAACCATCATCAGGTAAGAATGAATGATAAAACACAGATACGGGAACAGCATAGGCAGACACACATGCAGAGAGGGTGTCTCGCTCTGTGTGTCTTTGTGTGTCTCTGTCAGCATGTGTGTCTGCCTATACTGTTCCCGTGTCTGTGTTTTATTATTCATTCTTACCTGATGATGGTTGCTTGTGTTGCAACCAAAACGTCGTCTTCTATTATTTGATTTGATTTTCTACGTGACTTTACTGAAAGAACCAAAGAGTATATATTTTATTTTGCCAGGTAAAGCCCACTGAGCTATATAGATATTTTTCAGAAGTAACCAAGTCGCAAATGATAGCTCAACGAAGTGGCTTATCATGTGGAAATTTAAAGCAGCCAATTCCTCTCAATACACGTTGATTCTAAATGTGGAGGGAAAAACCGGAGGACCCGTATAAAAATCCACGCGACCATTGGGGGGAACATGTAAACTCCAAATGTAGAGGCGTCAGGGTCGGGATCGAACCTACGACCTCCTGTATACCAGGCGAGGTAGTCAATAGCTCGCCACCATGGTGCTACACAGACCTAATGCTGCTGCCCCTTCATGTCAAGCATGCCATCCCCTGCAACGTGTTAATTTCCCTTGACCTGATGTACACACATATATGCCATTGCGTAATTGTATCATATCCCAAACCACAATATATTACAATAGTATCTATTTTCTGTCTCTAAATATCTTAAGTAATGAATTGAGTCTACATTGCAGATGCTAATTAATTTTTGTGGGCTCTTACCCGTTTCAAAATAATTCATTCAGACTGAGTTAATGTATCAACAACATTGCTGCATTTGTTATTATCATACCTGTCAACCACTTATCAGTGCGTACCTTATTACAGACCATTTCAGACCTTATTGGTCACCCCGTGCCCTTGTAAATCTCAGCGTTCATTCTACAAAGTTCCATCACAAGGGAAAAACACAAATAGACACGAAAAATGCGTGTCCGTATTGAAACAGCTGTATGCCGGATGGACCTGAAAACTCAATTTCCCTGTACAAGAATACGGCCATACTGTATGGGTTGACTGGTATATATTATGAATGTAACGTACATATTTTGATGAGCAACCATCTTTGTTATCACAGTGATCTCCTAGACACACTCAACTCTGCCACTGCACAACATTGCCACTGTTACAGCGAGAGCATATTCTATACGAACTTGTGGTGTGCATCATATAATGAATAATGCAACTAATTAATTACTTGGTTGTGATGTTCTTTGCACAGATGCGTAAAAAACAAGCCATATATATTTGAAATGCGAATTCGCGCATTATTACGTGTTTGCTGTGCGTGTCAATCGGCACCCTGGACAGATGTTTCATCTAAAATTATTTTCCAGGTGATACATATTTCTTAAATATTTGTATTCAACATTCTCCCTCACATCATAAATTGACGGTACAGATTCAACATTCTGACGTTCCGGGGGTGGCTCCAGGGGCATGGCGGTGTCAAGCCGCAGTCCCACCACACCTGGCTCCTCAGAGCAGGCGGGGGAGAGGGGCTTTCTCCGGGGGAGAGGGGATGGGGGTGGGGGGGAGTTGGCCGGTCATTGCTGTTCTGGGTTGAGGTGGTGAAGACTGCGCTACGGTTTAGAAATGAACCCCATGCTCGTGTTGTATTCTTCTTCCTTGTTTCTGAGATTATAGCTCAGATGCTTCATGGCCGAGATTGGGCTTAAAGAATTTAGCCATTGAGTAAGGGAGGGGGGTTCGTGATTATTCGACGTACTCAATATGGTGTCCTAGCTGCTATATTAAAAGTCTTTAAAACGTTCTGTTCTTGGGTCAGCCTTATGGGGTAGTTTCTATACTGATATTGACAGATGTATTGTTTATTTTATTGAAAACTCACATATGTTCATATAATTCAGCAATAGTCAGACATGACAAGAAAGCATGTTCGTAATCTTGTATTCTACCCGGGGGTCACCTCAGGCAGTTCAGAGATAAGGCTGTACCAAATTTGGCCCTCTTCTGGTTGGTCATGTAGGCCCCGTGTAGGAATTTGAATTGGGTATATCTGGTCCTTTGGGAAGTGGATTTCCAAATCTGGGTCCATGTCTGGTTGGGGACTGGTCGATTCACTATTTGCTTGCACAGTGCTCGGGTCTGAGATCATCCACTATTCGCCCTGAGAGTAGAAGCTGGTATGCCTTAGATAGTTTGTATCTCTCTTTATCCAGGTGGAGGTGCAATCATATCTTTTCCTCTAGCTATGATGATTATGTCCAGAATCTGGAGATACCATATAACTGAACGTTTGGGAGGTTGTGCCTGGATCGAATGGATTAGAATTTGTCAATGTGGCCACTTTCTGCCAGGAGGTCCCCTACTCTATGAATTTGGGCCGCTTTCCAATCAGGTCATCTGATCCCTGGTTTCCAACTTGAAGTGCCGGATTAAGGGGAGTTGTAGTGGAGTACCCTTGGGACCTTGGTGAGTCTGTTTTTGCATAGTGTGGTGTTAATCCTCTCTAGTAGGGTTATGTGCCCTTGGGCTTATCCTGGGGGTGTGAGTGAGCAAGACCTTCCAGATTTCATGGCGATACTGAGGCCTTTTCCCAAGCTTGCATACCATGATATGCAGGCCAACTGCAAGGTGGTATTTTCGAAAATCTGGTGGCGCAAGTCCTCCCTCACTTCTTCTCTGGGTTAGGGTTTGGTAACTTATTCTAGAGGGACTGTCATTCCAGATGAAAGACGAGATGCGGGAGTGTGATTTCAAAATAAAGATTTGGGGGATCTGAGTTGCAATAATTCTCAGGTGGTATAATATCTTGGGAAGGGTCTTCAGTTTAGTCAAGTGCACTCTGTTAGGAAGAGACAACGGGATATAATTCCACACTGCCAGGGAGGTTTGGATCTCTTTGAGTAGAGGGGGGAAGTTCACTAGAAAAAAAGGTCACTCAGCTGACTGGATGAGGACTCCAAGATATTTCATTCTCTGATGACAGCATGTGAAGGGGGACAATGCTATTGGGAGAGTCTGGGAAGATGGGAATTATTTCTGATTTGTTGATATTTTTCTTATATCCCACCACCTTCCCATACTCATTCATTTCCTTCAAGAGGGTGGGGATTGAGGTTTCGGGATCGGTGATGGTTAGTAGAATGTCATCTGCATAGAAATGTATATGTTTTTATCGGTCTCCGTAGGACAGCCCTTTGATCTCTGCTTTTTCGGTCAAGGGGCTGTGTGGCTCGTGTGAACGGGGGGTAAGGGGCAGCCCTGCCACTTCCCATGCGTGAGAGTGCGAACCTTCCTGATACAATTTCATTGGTGGAGACCGTTGCTCAGGGGGCCAAGTACAATAGCTGGCACTGCTTGACAAATTGGGTCGGTATCCATATTTCTTCCATGGTGCTGAACAGGAACCTCCATTCTACCGTGTCGAATGCCTTTTCGCCGTCAAGGGTAATAGCGTAGGATCTTTTTCTATATTTTGTGGCGCTATCAACAGCATCGATCAAGGTCCTTATGTTATCTGCGGAGTCCCTACCCCTGATAAAACCCATCTGGGTTTCTCCAATGATGTTTAACAGAGCCTTCTCTAGTCTTTTTGCAAGCACCTTTGCATATATTTTATAATTTGCATTGAGCAGGGAGATTGGCCTATAACCAACTATATTCTCCTGAGCTGCTCCTGGTTTAAAGATCACCATAATTCTGGCTTTTCTCAGAGTCCAGCAGCTTTCCATGCAATTCTGCCTCGTTCAGGGTGTTTAGTAGCTGGGACACAATGGAGGTCTCAATATTTTTGTATAATTCCATAGTTATGCCATCAAGTCCTGGGGCTTTGCCAGGTTCTATAATTCCATAGTTATGCCATCAGGTCCTGGGGCTTTGCCAGGTTCAAGCTCATTGTGAGCTTCCATGAGTACTTGAAGAGTGATGAGTCTTTCTAATTCTGGCTTCAGTGTGGGAGGGAGATGGGGAGTCCTACTTCCTATAGTTATGCGTCTATGTTTTGTGATGTAGGCTGTTCATAAGTGTACAATTTATAATAGTATTCTCTGAAAGCTTCATTAATGTTAAGGCTTTAGTGCTCAGGATGTTGGTCCTGGTTTGGATGGTGGGTATATAAAGTATATAAACAGTCGGGAAGGTCTGGTCGTGAGAGATCTTATCTAGCTCATCTCTTGCTTGACAGATCTCACCCACCTCCTTACCTTGGGATGTCAATCTATATTGAAAACAAATTTCTTAAAAACTGCTTTTTGTGTTTAGTTTGTTGTCCTTCCCTCGCACCTCCGATTGGAATTGATGGCTACATACGGTGCAAAAGAAGTCCAACATACATACATAGTCGTAGTGGAGCTGCCTGAGCCTATCCTCTATCCCCTGCATCCTCTGTCCCCTTTCTTTCCTGAGCCACGCGCCCCTTGCTATAAAGAACCCCTCTGAAGTAGGCTTTTTGGGCGGTCCCACACCACCATAGGCAATGTGGGAGGAGACGCACTTAGGTGAATTTACACGAAGGATCCTATTTAATCTGATATTTTTTTAACCGTTTCTTTATCCCAAAGCAGGGTTCCGTCTAGGGCCCACATCCAGCATCTCAGCTCATCCAGGTCCAATATCAGTTGTGTAAGGACTGGGGCATGTTCAAAGAGTTCGAAGTCCAGCATTTTCAATTTCGTGACTGAGGGGAGGAGGGTGTTTGACAACAGAAAGTAATCAATCCTTGATTACGTTGCTTACGCCCGAGACACGCGGGTGCAATCTCTCTCCCTGATTCCAGGTGAAATATTTTAATTAAAAATAAACCTGTCATTTCTAAATGAAATTGGATGTTTGTTTTTATATTTCAGAGACCCGAAGAACGCCCTTCGTTTCAAAGTCTTCTGGAGTCCATTCAGCACCAGCTTAAGTGATAAGGGGTTGTGATTTATGGCATACAGCAGTTTTTACTGCAAGAGTTAAAACATTAAACACAGTGGATGTATTGTATTCATGGTGACATCAATGTAGGCCTCGGCAAGGTAAGGTAATTTACCCTTTTTACCAGGTAAAAGGGTAAAGGTAAAGGTGTCGACATACCAAGGAGTAAGGTAAAGGGTAGGGTAAAGGTAGCTCAGAAGAATTACCCGGTAGGGTAAAGGTAGCACAAAGTATTACCCGGTAAATACGGTACCTTGTTTACCGCTTAAAGCTGCGGGGCGCAGTCCGTGGCTTCCATTTAATAAGTAACATTTTTTTACTTTTTTTTTAAACACGCTTTAATGAAATGTACGAGTAATGGCAGAACTCCACGACTCCAGGAAATGGCCCTGAAGCTTGTCACAACGTAAGGGGACCGTGGTGATTTACAGCCAACGTCAGTTTACTGTGGACAGTTAGACCCAAGCCGAAACATAACATATACAAAAAGAATGTTTAAAAATATTTATTTTTATGATAGAATATAGTATTTTCATCAAAATGACATAAGTATACCAAGTTTGCAGTCTATACCACATTGGGAAGTGGGTTAAGATTGAGTTACAAGATTTGAGGATACAACGACAACAAGCGTGTTAAATGGGAATCATCGAGAGTATTCTATATTAATTAAGCGCTCTACCTAGCATTTACCGTTATAAACCTTTTTCATGTGTAGCACCCCAGTAATTACCCTGTAATCGGGTAATATGTATGGGGTAAGGGTAAAAGGTAGGGTAAAGGTAGGCTCGTTGCTTTTTACCTTTAACCTTACCTGCTTAAGGGTAAAAGGTAGGGTAGAGTGATTGTATTGTGGTAAGGTAAAAGGTAGGGTAAAGGTAGGCTCGTTGTTTTTACCTTACCTTGCCGAGGCCTACATAAATGACTATAACCATGATGTCACGATTTTGTTCATTATTGTATTCAATTGGCCTGTAAATTACTTCCAAGGAACTGCCACAGGAGTTAGCGAGTGCCAATGGGAATTAGAATATCGAACTCGATGCGTGCTCATATCGAGGGCCACCTATGCTGACCGTACAGAGAAAAGGAATAAAAACACTTACTCTTGTGTCCACACCAAGCATTGCATCGCGTTCCATGTGTGGTACGTCTAACCTGTTTTTTTATTGTAAATATTCTTGAATATCACTACTCTGTAAAAGTTACAAAATATTTAATAAAATAATTCTCAAAAACATGTACCTGTGTGTTGGCCTGTCTTCATTTCGGTTGGGGTATTGTCACCGAAGTTTAAAGCAGGGCTCGTAAAATCAAATATATTTATTGCATGTAAACAAGCTATCGGCCTTATCCAGATCACCAACACAAAAGAACTGAACGTGTTGCCGTTTTGTCAGACCACCAACTGAAACAGTTGAAAAAATGTGGCTGTTCCAAAAGGAAGCAGCGAAAGGCAACTGTAGACTGGTTTTGTATTCATGACTCATCAGTACAGCACGGTCGTCAATGTGAGCAGGTTCCAACCGTGCAAAGGTTAAGCCCTCGACACATGGGGCTTCCTGAGTCTGATGGCAGTGGTACACATTTGCGACTGGACTGTACCGAGTGCCGAGGGTGAAACTGGTTCACAGTTGTCGGTTGTATCCAGTAATGACTCGACTATGGTTGATTCAACAATTGATCTTTTGACATCATGGATTTTATTGACTTTCTGGATTTTCCTTAAGCTTGGTGTAGTTTCAAGCAATATGTAGGGACGTGGTGGCGTCCCTACGGGGTGTACGCGGGAAGCACCCGCGATGTATGAGTGAGGGCACGTACCTCTGCAGGGAGTTGACGGAGACGTCACGGGAAGCGGGCCCTGTCTGGACGTGCCGGCTCAAGTGAGTTAAGGGGACCCGGATGTGAGGGCCCGGGGAAAGGGAAGAGGAACGGGGGCGGAGCGGAGAGCTTAGTCCGGCGTGGGGAGCGATCGGCTCGAAGGGCTGAGGGATCGAGTAGTTGAGAGTAGTTCCCTCTTCCCCAGTGTTGCATTCTCGTGATGTGTTAACGTTTTGTTATCCCTAGACTAGATCTATATATATAAAAGGGAAATTTGTGAATGTGTCTGTTCGAAATGTTTAGCATACTTCCCGATATGCAACAAACTTGAAATTTGGCATGTGGGTAGCTTCCAGACTGTACACAATGCAAAAAGTATACAAATAGACCTTTGTATTTGGGGGGGGGGGGCACAATAATGCATATATTTTGCACGGCAAGTGAGCGGTGACGTCACATCTATGATGTCACCCGCATGCGGCAGCGTCACGCAGTGTGCCTGCTGACGTCACGCACCGCGTAGGCCGTGTATTAAACCAAGACAAGAATCCAAGTCCCGGGCGAAGCTGGGTAGGAAAGCTAGTGTAATAATAAAGTGTGGTGCCTCCAGATTCCTGTGTGTGCCTCGTTCGACACACTACAAATACACCACGTCTAATTTCTTGCTACATGTGGTTGTGAGAATTGTTGTTAAACTTACCGGTGAACTGAAACAATTATAATTGGCACTTGCACGGTGACAATTGAATTACATTGGCTGTTGGGTGGTGGAAGGTCTTGTGCCAGATTAGTTGGCCATATCAATTGTAAATTATAGCACTGGCTGCCAAAACATACAGGTTAGACTATGGCTACCAACTTAACACTTTAGAGCTTGCTCTGTTTGACAACCAGCTCGGATTGAAGCCATATACTCCGCAGTGCTGGTTCTGTCCACGTCTACTGTTACAAGCATTAACCGAGCCCTGGAGGCAAATCAAGCACCATAATGAGCAGCTTATTGTCGTTTAGCACTGCAATACACAAAATCACTAACTGTAAGGTGACAAAGTTTAGACGTTCAAATACTGGTTTACAGATATGATTTATTAAAATTACAGATTCCCTCAAAAAGATGTAAATTTTTATTTTACAATCAACTTTCCAAACATACAATTAAAAAAAAATCTATTACCTCAAATCCATTTGGTCCAAAATGTAAAATTAGTCCTCAACCTTCGTACTAAATAAAATAAACGCTGAATCATACACCAGTGTGTATTGTTGAGCCATGGGCAATCTCAACAAATAAAAACAAACTCCTTTTCCAATTACAACCGTTACCAAGCAAATAATAATACAGCAAACACTTCAACCAATGGTAAAATCATTAAATTTTTATACCTAAATCAGAATAGTCCAACTGCTCTACGAGCAACCTCTGTGCACCAAGTCCCCAGTTGCAGAACAGAGACCGAGAGACCCGATGAATACATACAGGCAATACGTTTCATTGTTTCAATTGCATGGAACACTTTACACGTGCAACTCTTGGATGAATACATCAAAAGCACTCTGGCTTTAAAGCTCAAATGTAAATAATACAAAATATATAATTGAATAACAACGCAGGCTGCAATGTGATATTGTTACATGTCAACTTCAACAGCAAGATAAACCTACAGTACAAGAAACTGCTTTATGTGCACGGAAATGTAATGTGTGCTCATTGTAAGCAATGCAGCCCGATACTAAAAATATGCAACACCAAATTTTACCTTGAAAAACTGCGACTAAAATTTAGTATGTCAACGTTTACGTTTTTTTCAACATGTGTGTATATTCCATTTGTGGTGCAGTAATCTGTAAAATGCGAAGCATTATTCCATGTTGATATTCCACTACGGGTTGAAGAGATGCATGTTACAGTGTGGAACCCAGCAGAGCAATAACAGACCTCAGCCTGCTCTCCATTCATCGTCCAGCTGTAGAAACCGCGACACTGCTCTCTTAAGATGTGCAGGAGAGAGAACCGTCTGTCAAGTAGGCCTACAATGATGAATTTGACTGAATCACACGCAAACATACATTTTAATATGGGTCCTTTCATGCAGCCATCGGTGACCGGAATGAGATCATCAAACTTGCTGCAAATGAGGTCCTATTGCGTACGACTAGATGTTTTGGCTTTAAAAGGCAGTGCCGAGTCATTGCTTTGACATGGCGAGCACAGCCACTTGAGCTATCCCACCCACCCATGTGTTGCAGTTTTTCCAATGTGCAACCGTGCATGCCTCCATTGCTGGTCTCATGCCAGCATTCCATGGGTTATGTATATTGCTCCAAAATAATAACAGAAGGAATTCACAAACGTCGCTCAGTTCATTTATTGCGCAGTCAACGCTTCTCCTCTTCCATCAAGATGGGTCTGCGACGGTGGCCACGAGTTCACTCCACTGCTGACAACCGCATTGAGTTTCTGCGATGCGGCCAAGAGAGAGAGAGAGGTGTCGCGTTGCAAGGGATGCGCCCGCGTCCTTGGATTGCCATAAAAAAGGAGGCACCTCTGTGTGAGTCACCGGCGGTCTTCAAGCTCAGATGTCGAGCACGCTGCCATTGCGCCGGCCCGACGGGAAGGAGCGTGCCAAGGGGGCGTGGTGCTCCGCGGCGTCGCCGTTCAGCAAGCTCTGCCGATCGCTTGTGCCGCCGTTCGTCATTGAGGGCGCCCGATCGAATCGGCGCATGAACGTCGGCAGCGAACCGAGCGTCAGGTTGATGTCCTTGAATGCGTGCAGCAGGAAGATACCCAGGATGATGGTGAGGAAGCCGCTGATAGTTCCGATGATGTCCGCTGCTGACATGTGGTACCACTCTGCGACAGGGTGGAGCAGTGCACAGTTACTAAATAACAAACGCGTTTATAAATTACGACCGCAAAACCCGCATTTGGATAAAGTGGATAGCCCAGATGTTTGTGCGCATGCCGTGGGGCCAATTTGTTCAAATCCAACAGCCACTGTGAAAATGTACCAACGGCACTCCGTCTGCTGTAGGATATTAATACCCTCTATGTCATTTGTAACAATAAGCACTTTTGAGCAAGCAGAAAGCACCCACTCACTAGATTTAAAGACTTTTGTGCTTGCTCAGATTCAACACATGACCACCAAAATATATAGTAAACAGGTTACGTTCCACTGGGTTCACGTCACCTTTGAATAGGATGGCGGAGCACACCATGACAGACGTGGTGAAGAACACGTAGTAGATCGGTGTCACGATGGATGTGTTGAAGATGTCAAGCGCCTTGTTGAGGTAATTGATCTGCGTCGCCACGCAAGCCACGAGGCTCATGAGCAGGATCCACGTAAGCGGCTCCTTGAACATGGGCCGCCCGCCTATGGCCTCTTTGATGGCGATGCCCAGGCCCTTGACGGAGGAGACGGAGAGCGCGCCGATCACCGAGCAGATGGAAATGTAGACCAGCACGTTGGTCTGGCCGTACCGCGGGGCCACGGCGAACACCAGCACCAGGGAGGAGATGACAACCACAGTGGCAAACACGATAAAGCCTGCAGCACGCACACAGCAACAACAGGAGGCTGGTGGCATTCGCATCTAATCCAGCGGTTTGCAGACGCGGTAGGCACCGTGGTAAAATACATTGACTATGCAGTATATAACAAGGCTGCAATTGTTCATCAGGTTCCGCTGATGCTCAGTGATCTTACTAATGGCTGGAATGTTGCAGTGAACAATAGCTTTCAAATAGCTGCAATAGACACACCTTACACTAAATTTAGGCTAGGTGCAAAATTGTCACAACTTGTGCATGTTGCATATTTAATCCCTATGCACTTACAGTAGCCAGGTGGTGGTGGCTATGCATGCGGCCTGTGATCCAGCAGTGTGGAGGCAAGGGTTGGTGGATCACCGCATAAGTGTTGTGAAACTTTCCGTGGGCGAAGAGGAGGTGCTATACCCTGGCTTGCCAGAAGGCAGTAACCAGCAAGCACCATCTGTTTACATCTGTGCGAGGATAGAGCGTTGCCCCCTCGCGTGCGTGGGTTTTCTCCGGGTGCTCCGGTTTCCTCCGAATTGTATATGAAAGACCAGTTGTCCAAAAACATCTTAAAATTAAAACCCAATACAGAACCCTCCTGACAAAAAGTCCTGTGACTCAGCGTGGCTCTCCTGGATAGATAAGTAATTTTTTGTAAGGTTTAATAAAAAAAAACACAGGTCCTATAGGCATGTCAATGCTTACAACTCATTAATAAACTGTAATTATTTTGAAACCAGCAGGCCACCCTGGTTAATACTGTGGGTATAATAACTCTAAAATATGTGTCGTCTGCTTCAAAGTGAACCTTAAACGAATCTGTGACGTCATTCAAAGAAGAGTAGACCATTGGGTGCCGGTGTCATGGTCCAAAGTTGCCAAATTTGAAAAGTTATACTGCAAAGCTACTTTACGTAGATAGAAAATTAATAGATCACGACATTTTCTATCTACGAGACTTTACCGAAAGAACCAAAGAGTATGGATTCCTGCAATCACGAAAGCTTCAAATCAAGACTGAACCGCCTCTACGGGGAGGGTTTCCATACAACTGTTAGATCTTTTAACAGACTGCGAGACAAGAAGGCTCACCTGATCGAGTCGCTCACCTTTCTGAAGAGATGCCGCGACACCAAGGTGATACCGATCGCCTTTACACTCACATCTGCTGCTGTCACTTCTCCTAATGCTAAACGGATCTTGTTCAGGACTAGCCTAGCCCTAATCTCAGAGCGAATAAGGCTGCTCCGATTTGAGCTTGATAATTTAAACAAGACTCTCACAATCTCACTTAGCATTGACAGAAAAAATTTCCACATCTGATTTGGACCATGTAGATAACATGGTAGTTTCTTCTGCCGCTTCAATGTCAACCAAATGTAAAGTTAACCTGATTGCTAAATTCAACCTCCTGTCTAAGAAGAAGTTATAGTAATAGGTTTTACCCTTTTAACTGGTACAAAAAACTGACACCTTTATTCAAGGCATCATGTCTGCAATAACCACAACACAAGCAGTCAAAATGCAAACAAAAAGACAACTCTGATAATAATATGCACTGTCCTTGAATTTGATTGGTCCACACCCGAGACGGCTTTCTTTAGAGCCTAGTCTCCACTGGTGTTGGACCAGAAGACGCCAAAAGGCGTACAACTCAAAAACAGCACACTATCAGAGTATTGAGGGCCCAGGGTGAGCATTTACATTATGAGACCTCCTTTGCCAGTAACAAGATATAGTAATAGGTTTTACCCTTTTAACTGGCACAAAAAACTGACACCTTTATTCAAGGCATCATGTCTGCAATAACCACAACACAAGCAGTCAAAATGCAAACAAAGAGACAACTCTGATAATAATATGCACTGTCCTTGAATTTGATTGGTCCCCACCCGAGACGGCTTTCTTTAGAGCCTAGTCTCCACTGGTGTTGGACCAGAAGACGCCAAAAGGCGTACAACTCAAAAACAGCGCACTATCAGAGTATTGAGGGCCCGGGGTGAGCATTTACATTATGAGACCTTTTTTTGTGCCAGTTAAAAAGGGTAAAGCCTATTACTATATCTTGTTACTGGCTGCTAGACCACCCAGATTTTATAGCCTTCCAAAAATTCATAAAAAAGGTACACCGCTCCATCCCATCGTCTCCACCATTAACTCACCCACCTACAAACTGGCCCGATTTCTGTCTGAGACCCTGCTTCCATTCACTGGCAAGACCACCTCAGCTGTACTTACCTCAGTTCACTTGGTTTCTCTAATCAAAGACATCTCACCGTCTCCAGATGATTTGCTTGTCAGTTTCGATGTAGTCTCTCTGTTCCCCAATGTACTTGTACTTGACACCATTGCAATCATTGAAGACTTATCCCAACAGGGACCGAATGTGCCAACTTTGGTGAGGCACTACCTTACCAACACTTACTTCACCTGGAATAGTACATTCTACAAACAAGATGAAGGTACCTCAATGGGTTCTCCCTTATTGCCAGTGGTAGTGAATGTTTTCATGGAGAAAAATGAGACAGATGCCATCCAGACATCCACCCTACGTCCTTCCCTGTGGAAGAGATACGTAGATGACACGTTCGTCATCTGGCCACATGGCCAACCAGCACTAAACCAATTCTTCAACCACATCAATTCTATACACCCAGCCATCACATTCACCGTGGAAGTGGAAAAGGATGGCAAGTTACCATTCCTAGAGAAGAGACCTGATGGCTCATTGGGACACTGTCTACAGGAAAGCCACCCACAAGGATGCCTATCTAAAGCCTGACTCCCACCACCATCCAGCCCAGAATAATTCCCTCATCAAAACATTACACCATAGGGCCCGTTGCATCTCCGACCACCACCACCTAGCCAGCGAGCTGGAGCACGTACACCAAGCCCTCAGGATGAATGGATATTCTGACCACACAATCCGCAAAGCTGTCTCCCCAGCGATGGGGAGACAACTATCTGAGGTACCCAATAAAAACCATCACCTTACCAAAAAGATTTCCAAAATCTTGAACAAACACAAGAACCAGGTTCGTTTCAACACAGTACACAAAATCTGTGATTTGATCCCATTTGTGAAGGATGTAATTCCTGACATGCAATACCCTGGTGTCTACAAACTAAGCTGTGACTGCGGCAGCAGTTACATTGGGGAAACGAAACGACATGTCTCGGACCGTGTTCAGGAACACAAGGCAGATCTGAAACACGATAGGACCAATACCTCTGCCGTTGCTGAACATTGTTTTAACGCTGTGGACTCACACGAAATTGATTTTTCCAAGACGAAGGTACTCTGCAAACCCACCGGCTATCATCAGAGATTTGTTCATGAAGCCATCCAGATATATAAACACAGACACAACTTCAACTGGAAAGATGGGTAAAACTGAGCAATCATTGGAAGGAAGTTATTATCCAGATAAAGTCTTAACTGACTGTGATGTTTCCATCCTACCTGCCGATGTCAGCAGTTATTTCCGACTCTCTGGTACATCACCAGGTTAAATGTCTTTACATTAACAGGCTGTCTCACTAACACAGCTACCATTGCCCCTTTATCTCGATGTGGCAGGAGCTCTCGTTTTTTAACAGACTATAATTGGCTGTGGTGTTTCTGTATATGTCTCTCTGTGTGTGTGTCTCTCACTCTGTGTCTCTCTGTGTGTGGGTGTCTCTCTGAGTGTGGGTGTCTCTATCTCTGTGTCTCTCTATATTGTGTCTCTCTGAGTGTGGGGGTTTTCTCCCTGTGTGTCTCTCTCTCTCTGTCTCTCTCTATGTGTGTCTCTCTCTCTCTCTGTGGTTGTCTCTCTGTGTGTGTCTCTCTCTCTGTGTGTCTCTGTCTGTGTCTCTGTGTGTGTGTCTCTCTGTGTGTGTGTCTCTCTCTCTCTGTATGTCTCTATGTGTGTGTCTCTCTCTCTTTGTGTCTCTCTTTGTGTCTCTCTCTCTCTCTGTGTCTCTCTGTGTGTGTGTCTCTCTCTGTGTGGGGGTTGTCTCTCTGTGTGTCTCTCTGTGTTGTGTCTCTGTGTCTCTGTATGCGTCTCTCTCTGTGTGGGTCTCTCTCTCTCTCTCTCTGTGTGTCTCTCTGTGTGTGTGTCTCTCTGGGTGTGTCTCTCTCTGTGTGTCTCTGTGTGTGTGTCTCTCTCTATCTGGCAAAAAGCCCTACCTTCTTGTGGTGCCGGACGGCAATGCTGCTGTGGACAGTGCTGTGGGGGGGAGGGCCAATTCCAATTGGCCTTTCCCCTCAGGGCGTTGGTAACCACCACAGCGGCCAAATGGGGGCTCTGGATGGGTGCGAGGGGCTGGTAGCCCCTCCAACTTCAATAAATTATCACAAAGACATGTAAAAAATATCTAATTAATAAGCTTGTACCGGAGGCCCTGGGGGGACAGGCATCTATGACGTCTCCTGGCCAAACCCCATTTGGCGGAGCCAGGAGATTGAATCTTTACCCTCTGGGCTCCTCCAGAAACAACAAAAAGCCACTACGGATGGCCACGTAGAATGTTCGAATGCTCACTGCGGAGAAGAGGCTGCCACTCCTCTGTTGGAAGCTGGACTGGTACCGCGTGGCATTTAGGAGGTCCGGTGGAACGGCTCTTGCTCCTGCCACCATGAGGGGTGGACAGTCCTCTACTCGGGGCAGGAGACTACCAAACAACAGGGAGTGGTTCTTCTTCTGAACAAAAGAATGAAGGGGACGTGGGAGCATGGCGGTGAGGTGTGGGAAGCTGTAAGCCCCAGGCTACTTTGGGCTCGCCTTCCCATCAACCCGAGGCGAGGAGTGGTGGTCGTGGTTACTTATGCCCCCATCGAAGACGAACATCCGTGGAGGGATGCAGGCAAGGACGATGAGTCAGATGCATTCTATGACCTCGTGTCACAGGTGCTGGCTAAAGTGGCCCCTCGGGATAGAGTCATCTTGTTGGGTGACTTAAATGCCCGAGTTGATCATGATGCTGGCACCTGGTCTGGAGTGATTGGAAGGCATGGGCCAGATCAGCTCAATAACAACGGTAGGAGGCTGCTAGATTTTTGTGCAGCCCATGGGCTTGTAATTACCAACATGCTGTCCCGGCATCAGCGCATCCACACAACATCATGGATGCATGCCGGGTCCAAGCAAGAACATCTTCTGGACTACATTGTGACGGAACAGCGGATGCGGGCCCATGTCCTTGACACCAGGACCTACCGTGGGGCTGATCTGCCCTTTGACCATCGACTTGTCATCTGTAAGATGCACCTGCCATTCTTCCACTCCGGTGTACACCCAGAACCCCATTCCAAGTTAAGGTGGCCTGGTCTCAGCTAGCTGATGAAAGTTGCAAGCGAGAATTTCATCATCGCTTGCGGCTGGGGTTGGCATCGTCCCCCACTCCTCCAGATGTCGAGGGTAAATGGGCGAGGTTTAGGACTATGACTCAGGCAGCTGCAATGGCTGCTTTGGGCACACGTTCCAGACCTTCCCAGATACCCTGGCTGACAGAGGAGGTGTTCAGGATGGCTTAGAAAAAGCGATTCTTACCATCTACAGCATCCCACGTCAGAGTATGAGGAGGCTTACCAAAGCCTTCGCTCAGAGGTTTCGGAGAGCCGTGAGGCACTGCAAGGATAGGTGGTGGTCGCGGGTTGCTGAGGAGATGGAGTCTGCCTCAATGGCCCGCAATCACAAATCCCTATTTAACTCCATCAAAAAAGTAACCTGCAGCGTCACATCTATTACCATTATTTGGGGAAAAAACGGTGATCCAATCTCTGACCCCCAGGAACAGGGTTGCAGATTTGCTGAGCATTTCTGTGAAGTCTTGGGAGAGGGTAAATCCCTCTACATGGAAAACATCGTGGGACAAAGTGGAAATGACCTTGTTGAGGCTGCAGTGCCTCAAATATTGGGAGGAAGAAGTCACCCCCTGTGAGTGGCTGGCTGAGGTGCCATCTGTTGAGGATGCACTAAAGGCGATCCAGAGTCTGAGACCAGGAAAGGCACCGGGCAGAGATGATCTCCCAAGCGAATTGCTGAGGGAGGGTGGCGTTTGTGCACAGACTGCCCTACATGACATCATAACAACAGTCTGGACCACTGGACGGGTTCCGCAGGATTGGAAGGATGCCCTTGTGGTCCCTCTCTTTAAGAAGGGGGACCGCACAGACTGTAACAACTACAGGGGTATCTGACTGCTCAGTGTGCTGGGAAAAGTCCTGGCAAGGATTATTCAATATCACCTTGCCAGGCACGCTGAGGTAGCGGCTTGCGGAGCCTCAATGTTGTTTCAGGAAAGGGCGGTCCTGCGCAGATGCCATATTTTCTGTCCATTTGCTACAGCAGAGGTGTAGGGAATTCCAACAAGACCTACATCTCTGCTTTATTGACCATCAGAAGGCCTGGGCTCTGGGTTGTTCTTCGTGCTTTCCAAGTCCCTGACCCTCTGCTCACGATCATTAAAGACCTTCATCATAGTGAGCGGGCCCGGGTAAAACTATGTGGCCGGGAGTCAGAGCCATTCCCTGTTCACCTTGGGGTGCGACAGGGATGTCCTCTGGCTCCCACATTATTTAACATCTTTTTCGACCACGTAGTTTGTGAAGCCTTTGATGGCTGTACCAAGGGAATTTCCATCTGGTACAGATACAATGAGAGGCTGATCGATGCCCGGGTGCGGTCAAGGGATGGCTCCCTATTGGTCAACCACATTATGTATGCCGATGATCTGATAATTGCCGCTCACTCAGAGGAGGAGTTGGAGGCGCTGCTGCTGAAACTGGAGCGTGCCACTAAGAGGTGGGGCCTTACCATCAGCCCCACCAAAGCTAAGCACCTGCCTGGGTATTTTGTACCATCGGGCAACCCACCCCCACAACTCCCAATTGGTGATGGGGCAGTTGTGGAGAGAGTGGAGAGTTTCCCATACCTGGGCAGTGTGCTCATGACCGGCTCCGGTTTGACAGCAGAGGTCTCACTCAGAATCAGTCGAGCAGCATTATATTTTCATCGGTTGCGTAACACTGTGTGGAAGCTCCCTGGTCTGTCGCTCCGCACGAAGCTTCAAGTCTTCTCGGCCACGGTCATTCCCTCCCTTCGTTACGCTTGTGAAACGTGGACCCCCCTAATGGAGCATCTTCGCCGATTGGAAACATTTAGGCTGGCTTGCCTACGATCCATCCTGGGTTTAACCAGGCTGGATTGTGTGAGGAGCTCACAAATCCTTGAAAGATCTGGGCAAAGCCCCATCGGTGAGCTCCTCCGGCAGGCAAGGCTGCGTTGGCTGGGTCATGGAGCCCACATGCCCAGTTACCGCATGCCTAAACAGCTTTTGTTCAGCCGGATAGAGGGGGATAAACGGGCGCAGCACGGGCTTGAGAAGAGATGGAGTGATGTGGTACAGGAGGATGTGGAGTTGAGTGGACTTGCCGATGACTGGTACCAGCGGTGTCAAGATCGGCCTCTGTGGAGGAAGCTCATGAAAAACGCTGCTGGGCAGTTGGAGGCAGTCGCACTCCAACAACAACGGAGGGTGGAGGAGCGACGCTCACAACAATGAGCGGAGCACCGGGTGGCTAAAGCACAGCAATTTGGCACAGTAGGGGGCACAGGTGGTGCATCAGCCAGTCATCTCAGTCAGTCGACCCGTGGCACCTGGGTCTGCCCTGTGACCTCCTGCCAGCGGGTGTTCGACACTTCACGTGGCCTCAAGGTGCACATAGCCTGGCACAAGCGTCGTGGTGGCGTCACCGCCACTTAGTGGCGAATGGCGGTTGTTGTTGTTGTGTCTCTCTCTATGTGCGTGTGTCTCTCTATGTGTGTCTCTCTGTGGTTGTCTCTCTGTGTGTGTCTCTGTGTGTATCTCTCTCTATGTGGATGTAACTCTCTGTTTGTGGGTTGTCCCTCTTTGTGTGTCTCTCTCTATGTGTGTCTCTCTCGTTGACATGCTGGTCTCTCCTCGTAGTTGCTCTTGCATTGGCACAGCCCCCGGTTGCTGGAGCCGTCTCACATTGACATGCTAATCTCTTACATTTACATGCAAATTCATCTCCAGCTCTGCCCACTTACCCTTGGGTTGAGCCCACCTCAAGCCTATATAACCTTCTTCTTGCAGTAGCTCTTTCTCCTGCCTCAGCAGTTCTCCTGCTGTGTTTGTCTCACCTGATGACGATTGCTTGTGTTGCGATCGAAACGTCGTGGTCTATTAATGTTCTATCTACGTGACTTTACCGAAAGTACCAAAAGCTACTTTAGTTGAAAATACAGAACCGTGAGACTTTCCCAAGTAAACAATTATAATTCAAACCTATCTCAGAGTGAATCTGGACCGTGCGCTAACCTTCCATGACCACCTGAAAAAGGTAGCTGCCAAGACCAAAACAAGGATCAACTTGGTTCAGAAACTGGCAAACACAAGCTGAGGTGCCACAGCACCCAGTGATATGGACATCACCGATGGCCCTCGTGTACTCTATAGCCGAGTACTGTGCACCAGTATGGACCAGGAGTAGTCACACTCGACTTGTTGATGTCCAATTGAACACTGCAATGTGGTATATCACTAGCACCCTCAAGTAGACCCCAACACCCTGGCTGCCCGTGCTGTCACCACATCTCTTCTCCACTCATCCGCCGCAACGCTGCAACCCTCTGGGAAGTCCTGCGAATCGAGGAGAACAGTCGCCTTCCCATTAATCAGGACCTCAATAACATCCCTCGTCATCGCTTAAAGTCACACTCAATGGAGTTCAAAAGAACCACAAACAAACATCTTGTGAAAGACTCAACACAGAAGATCCCTCGGTTTGATCTTCCGTGAAGCTCATGGACCACCCTAAACCACATCCAGTGCACAAACTATGGCAGATGCGGATACCTGATGTACAAATGGAAAATAACAATTCTCCAGTGTGCAACTGTGGTAATCCAGAACAGACCATACAACATATACCGATGCAAAGCCCGGTTAACAAATACGTAGGAGACATCACAGCGATACACTCCAGTAATCCTGACGTGGTTATCTGGCTTGACCACCTGAATGTGAAATTGTAGTTGTTGCTCTGCATCTACATCAGCAGCCATACGAAAGAATGATATAATGTTTTATGACAAAGTTTATGCTCGTTCGCAGTGGTATGTGTCAATATGCCATACTGGCACTTCTTAGAACACCACATACGTGCGCTGATACTCTTCAGAATGGTTCCTATTGCTAAGTGACAATGTTTCCGTAGAGGGGAAGCAGCAACAAGCATCAGCAAAAGGCTTTAATGCTGGCATTCCTACATTCCCATTTCAACCACTGCCAATACGTGTATGCAATAGATGTTTCCCTATCAACAGCTGTTGCTAAGGCTTCAAAAGCTGCCAGGTATGCCGCTGTGTCAGCCATAGCTGAGTCAGCACTCACCGGGGTCTTGCAGCTTTACAGCCATCACCTCCAGAGACTCCACCTCTTCCTCCTGTGGAGCGTGGATCACCATGACAGTGGAGCCCAACAGGCACAGCATGCAGCCCAGCTTTCCATGTAGGTTCAGCTTCTCATTCAGGTAGTACGACGACAGCACTGCACTGTGGGGTGCACGGAGACACGCAGCGACACGGCTATACATAACCACTGCACCGACATAAAACCACCAGGGAACACCAGTAACCTACCATGGATAAATATGCCAAACGTCCCGGTTGGACGGGACAGTCCTGGTTTAATAAATGTGGAAGTTCGGAACAGAAAATGGCGCGACCGTGTTGGAGGTGCAATCCGTAAAAGGAGTTCGCGATACGTGGGACAATTGTGTAGAATGCCGGAGGGCAGGTGACCGAGACAGGCGTGGAGTGGTACCTGGAAGTTGGTAGTCAAAGGGAAGACCTACAGTGAGATTGTGATATACTGTAAGAGCAGACCTTGAAGATCAAGTGTCAACATTGCAATAACTACAGATTCTTGCAGAAGTGATGCAGTGGATTTTTTTAAATAATTGGCGATGGCTGTGAAAAAATTAATGTTGACTTTGTGGCAATTCAAATTCTCCGAGAGTTTATTGCACTTTATAACATTAATGGGCTCAGCAGCTGGGATCTTGCTCTGTTTGACCAGGTGCACACTCACCTGACAAGGACACTCAGGGCACCCAGCGGAGTGACCAGTGTGGCCGGAGCAAATGCATAGGCAGCGAAGTTCGCGCCCTCGCCAGCTCCCACTGCGCAACGACACGAAAGCAACATTCATAGAGGGGGCATGGTGGTGAATGGATACGCGTTGATGGTTAGCATCTGCAAGTACGTTGGGATTTTTCTAAATATGTTCATGGCAGATTCAATTAATGCACGTGCTTCCTGTCATTTCTTAAAATGGAATTAATATTTACAATTTACTTATGTATCCAGGAAAGCCAGACTAAATCCACAGACTCTTTTCAGAAGGGTACTGCATTTGTTGTTTATGTTAATATATTTTCAGCCAGTTATTGATGAGTTGTGTTTATTATACAAGTTGGATGAAACTGGAGCATCCAAAGAAATCCCACACCTTACACTCAGGGGTAACACTGAGATGGGAAGAAATGGAGATTATATATTCTTGGTTCTTTCAGTAAAGTCAGGTAGAAGGGAAACAATAAAATAATAAAAATATAAAACAATAAAATTCTCACGAAGTTTCGACTGCAACACAAGCAATCATCATCAGGTGTGAAAACCACAGCAAGAAAAATTTGAAAAAAGTGGCGGGTTTTTTTACGTTAGCACCACGGAGAGCGATTTGGCAGTTATTCAGATGGACGAGTCCATCTATGTTCGGAAAAGAGGGGAGAGACGAAAATAATATTATGCAGTCTGAAAGCCAAAGTAAGAATGAACAATCAATTAAGACCCGAAATGGTTTATCAAATCCTTCCAATGATTGCTAAGCCAGAATCCATCTTCTCGGTTGAAATTGTCTCTGTGTTTGTATATGTGGATAGCCTCATGAACGAATCTCTCATGGTAGCCAGATGGCTTGCAGATAACCTCTGTCTTGGAGAAGTCAATGTCATGTGAGCCTACTGAATTATAACAGTGATCTGCCATGGCCGAGGTGTTGGTCCTACCGTGTTTTAGATCTGCTTTGTGTTCACGGATGCGGTCCAAGACATGTCGTTTGGTTTCTCCAATGTAACTACTACCACAGAGGCAACTTAGTTTGTAGATGCCAGGGTACTTTTTTTCAAATTTTTCATGCTGTGGTTTTCACACCTGATGATTGCTTGTGTTGCAGTCGAAACGTCGTGAGAATTTTATTGTTTTATATTTTTATTATTTTATTGTTTCCCTTCTACGTGACTTTACCGAAATAACCAATAATATGAATCCCTGCAGTCACGAAAGCTTTAAATCAGAATGGAGATTAGTTCACTTGCAGTACACCTTTTCCTGGTGAGCAAGGGTATGGCACCTCCTCGACGCCCACGGGAAGGGAGCATTACAACATCTGTGTGATCCACCAATCCTTGCCTGCATATCACAAGGCCACCTGCTGTGACCGCTGCCTGGACAATTAAGCGTGGACCACGATTAACAACCTCAAAGGAGCGAAAATAAATGCTTTGTATGTTCATACACCCTGCACTTTCACGAGTTTGTTGATGCATTTATTTTCATGTGTGGGATACACAAGGACAACTTACTGGAGAGAAGTCCAGCCCACCAAAGCCATTCCTTGAGGTAGGCATGCCCACCCTGCCCTGAAAAAACGATGCAACGCACAGGATTACAAATTCTGGGCTGAAACTAAACGTGTTCACGTATTAAGCTTTTCATATGAAACGCTTTCTATTTTCACAATTAACAAGCATGGTTTGCATTTAAAGAGCACTTACATGTGAATGCATCTCAGAGTGTAATACACAGCACAAGGAACACAACACGACACAACACGGGAACAATGGAAAAACGTACAAATAAAAACCTTTTAGTAAAGTAGGGAGGGCCATGACAACCATCAGAAGCACAATACGGCCACCGAGACCAGGGTCTCAGGTCAGTCATGGGGTTAGTGTCGGTGGTTATGGGTAGCAATAATAATGATAGGTAATCACGAGTGGTCACAGGGCCGGTGTTGTTTGATCATGGGTTGTCACGTGTAGTCACAGAGCAGGTGTCTCTGGTCACGAGGCTGGTGTTTGTCGTCACATGGAGTAACACGTAGTCACACGTAGTCACGTGGCTTTTGTTGGTGGTCAGGGGTAAGTGTGGGGCCAGGAGGCAGATGCCGTGGCTGAGGAGACACTACCTGCCCTCGTTGACCCTGTTTTCGCCAGTTTCAGAAGACCCTTCTTCTTGAGGATGTAGCTGCCCCCGATGAAGAGGCTGGAGCTGATGGCCAGGCCCAAGCCTACGTAGAAGCCGTACTTGTCCTTGCCTCCTTCCATGCTGCCGCCCCTCTGGCTGCCCAGAGTGCACTGCTACCTCCACAGCCTTGTCACTGGCTCATGTGCGATTCTGGCAGCACAGGATCATGCAATCATAATGTTTCTAATTAGTTAGCACCTCACCAGCAGAGTGGGTGGGGCGGGCAGAGTCTAGAACCCTGACGCTCTCTAGAGGTGGCATGATTATGCGACGAGAAGTGGCACAGAGTTGGCAAACATTTTCAGGGCAAGGCGTCACTGATAAGACTGTTCCTCAGAGCCATGTTATTACAGTAACCAAATAATTTAAATATACGACTACCATATTAGTTTGGATACAAATTAATTTTTATTTTTTTCCCAAACAACATCTCATTGAGATGACCTCTTTTTAAACTGAGACCTGAGAACCCCACAACCAAGCAGAAAACTGGCAATCAAAAACTTTACTTTATACAATAGATCCATATGTCACCGTTGGCAAAGCCACTTATGCCACCACACCTCGCCAATGGTCCATACCGTCCGCCAGCACCCGCAGATGCTGCACAGTTGGCATGCAGCAATCGCCAATCACCAATATCTGCCCTGACAGCCTCGTGCCATCTCCTCTTAGGTTTGATATTGTGAATATTAATTTGTTAATTTTCAAAAGGAAATACTGCAGAAACTAGCCCGTAAACTGTAACCTGTCTGTAAAACAGCATCATCCTGTGACCACCGTTTTTGTGTGGTGAGGTCAACATTCAAATTGCTTTTGCAATTCTCTTGCCAGGCGTTGGCAATAACACCGATAATTCCGATACTTATGTGAGAGGCAACTATTACATTTTGCAGCCACTGATGCTATATTTTTTAAATAAATAAACTAAAAACTGTTTTTGCATTACTTTCATTGGAAGACCCATATTGCACTTTGGCTACATTTATGACTGCATTTACACGGCTCTGAGCTTGGCAAAGTCTGTTAATCATACATCGCCCCGTGTGACTGGCCGCACTGTGCGTACCTGGCATTACAAAACACACAGGACTCTGACAAATGCTCTCATATATCGAGCTATTAAAACCTACATCAACACAGGACTCTATTCTTCCATTATAAGTATTGTGTACACTCTTTGCACTAAACTTTGTCGTCCGAGTTATTCTGAGATTTAATTTATCATTCCAAAACATTCCACTAATGCTGAGCCATTATCATGCTTGACACCCCATTAGTGGCACACAATCCACACTAGGCCACTCTAGTAGTTGACACCCATCAGTGACACAGCACACACCCATCAGTGACACACCACACACCCATCAGTGACACACACTACACACCCATCAGTGACACAAACTACACACCCATCAGTGACACATACTACACACCCATCAGTGACATACACCACACACCCATCACTGACACACTACACACCCATCAGTGACACACTACACACCCATCAGTGACACACACCACACACACCCATCAGTGACACAAACCACACACCCATCAGTGACACACACCACACACACCCATCAGTGACACGCACCACACACACCCATCAGTGACACACACACACATCAGTGACACACCCCACACACCCATCAGTGACACACACCACACACACCTATCAGTGACACACACCACACACCCATCAGTGACACACACCACACACACCCATCAGTGGCACACACCACACACACCCATCAGTGACACACACCACACACACCCATCAGTGACACACACCCATCAGTGACACACACCCATCAGTGACACACACCACACACCCATCAGTGACACACACCACACACCCATCAGTGACACACACGACACACACCCATCAGTGACACACACCCATCAGTGACACACACCACACACCCATCAGTGACACACACCACACACCCATCAATGACACACTCCACACACACCCATCAGTGACACCCATCGGTGACACACACCACACACCCATCAGTGACACACACCCATCAGTGACACACACCACACACCCATCAGTGACACAAACCACACACACCCATCAGTGACACACACCACACACAACCATCAGTGACACACACCCATCAGTGACACACACCCATCAGTGACACACACCACACACAACCATCAGTGACACACCCATCAGTGACACACACCACACACCCATCAGTGACACACCCATCAGTGACACACCACACACCCATCAGTGACACACCACACACCCATCAGTGACACACACCCATCAGTGACACACCACACACCCATCAGTGACACACACCACACACACCCATCAGTGACACACCCATCAGTGACACACACCACACACCCATCAGTGACACACCCATCAGTGACACACACCACACACCCATCAGTGATACACACCCATCAGTGACACACACCCATCAGTGACACACACCCATCAGTGGCACACACCCATCAGTGACACACACCCATCAGTGACACGCACCACACGCACATAGGGACCAGACACCAGAGAGGGCGGGGACAGCAGCGTGGCCCCACCCCGTATGGGCGTGGGTGGCAACGATTTACAAATCCCACGCTGCGCGAGCGCCGCGACCCGAGTTGGCGAACTCCATTGGTCGCGTGCGGCGGGCGCCGATCGGCTGCAGCCAATGGGAGGTACGGACGCGGCGCTCGCCGCCTATCCGCGCTGGGAAATACAAAAGATGAGGAACGGAAGCGGGGACGCGGGGGACCCGGGGCGACGGAGGCCATGGCAAGCGACGAGGAAGCGGTGGCGGCTGCCGCGGCCCGCAGGCGAGACGGGCGCAGCCGTGGCGGCCTCACATCCCGCTGCGTCGAGCCCGTGCGGTTCGCTGCTCAGTGGCGCGAACGCGGAGCTCCGTCACTCACCCGCGCCTCGGCGTCTCCCAACTGCACGGCGAGGGGCGGCCCGCGTGACGTCACCACGCGGAAGCACGGCTCGCGTGGTGACGTCATCGCGATAAAAAGTGCGCGGTGACAGCGGCTGGGCAAGACTGGCGCGATGAGTCATCGCGCGGTGAGCACGTGGTGGCGTAGTGACGTCACCGCGTGCGGGCAACGTCACCGCGAAAAGTCAGCGGGTTTTTTTGGGTTAGATGGCGTAAATATAAAAGTGTCGTTAGCACCCGCCACCATCCGACACAGTCAACTAGTAAGGGTCGTCACGTAAACAGAACGTGCCAATTCGTCACGAGTACAGCACACCGATGTGTTGGAGAGCCAAGCCACAATTACAATCTGAGCACGGCGTTTCGCCAGTAATTACCCGCACTCCGTGACAGCGCTCTGGATGGTAGCACCTGCCATGCCCTTGATGAACGAGGCACCTGCCATGCCCTTGATGAACGAGGCACCTGCCATGCCCTTGATGAACGAGGCACCTGCCATGCCCTTGATGAACGAGGCACCTGCCATGCCCTTGACGAACGAGGCACCTGCCATGCCCTTGACGAACGAGGCACCGGCCATGCCCTTGAGGAACGAGGCACATGCCATGCCCTTGATGAACGAGGCACCTGCCATGCCCTTGATGAACGAGGCACCTGCCATGCCCTTGATGAACGAGGCACCTGCCATGCCCTTGACGAACGAGGCACCTGCCATGCCCTTGATGAACGAGGCACCTGCCATGCCCTTGATGAACGAGGCACCTGCCATGCCCTTGATGAACGAGGCACCTAATCTTTGTTTTTTTCGGTAAAGTCACAGATATAAGAAAAAATAAAATTACATAATCTACGACGTTTCGATTGCAACACAAGCAATCATCATCAGGTAGAGGAAACACATATCCGCAGATATATACAGACCTTAAGTAGAGGGAATTAACACAGATATACCAGGGGATACAGAGAGACGGAGCATCACAGGGTTTAGCAAAATTTGGAAACTATGTAAAGCAACACAGACGGTCGGTTAAAACACAATTAACGCATGGTCTGGTTGAATACACTATTTCAAAGATTGTTAAATTGTAAGTTGAGTGTGAAATTTAAGATAGTGATAGAATACATACCGTAGAGAGACCTATGGGGGGAGACACGCACACAGTTAAGAGGTAAAGCAGCTCTGTACCGAGGCCTTAAATAGCCAGAGATGGAGGGACTGGGTCTCAGAGACAATGGGACACAAATTAGCATGATACAAGTTGTCAGGCACACAGAGAGGGCGCCGCAGCGCACACTTAGAGACACCCAGGCACACAACTATAGGCAGAGACAGCACAGCGACATAAACCCAATTCAAGACACAAAGGCAGATACACCAGCAGAGAACACAAAGACACAGCTTTCATACCTCCCCGAAGAGGTTGTTCAAACTCGATTTGGTGCTTTCGTGACTGCAGGAATTAATCTTTGTTTTTTTCGGTAAAGTCACGTAGAAATAAGAAAAAATAAAATTACATAATATGCCGATGCCCATGACGAACGAGGCACCTGCCATGCCCTTGACGAACGAGGCACCTGCCATGCCCTTGATGAACGAGGCACCTGCCATGCCCTTGACGAACGAGGCACCTGCCATGCCCTTGACGAACGAGGCACCTGCCATGCCCTTGAGGAACGAGGCACATGCCATGCCCTTGATGAACGAGGCACCTGCCATGCCCTTGATGAACGAGGCACCTGCCATGCCCTTGATGAACGAGGCACCTGCCATGCCCTTGACGAACGAGGCACCTGCCATGCCCTTGATGAACGAGGCACCTGCCATGCCCTTGATGAACGAGGCACCTGCCATGCCCTTGATGAACGAGGCACCTAATCTTTGTTTTTTTCGGTAAAGTCACAGAAATAAGAAAAAATAAAATTACATAATATACGACGTTTCGATTGCAACACAAGCAATCATCATCAGGTAGAGGAAACACATATCCGCAGATATATACAGACCTTAAGTAGAGGGAATTAACACAGATATACCAGGGGATACAGAGAGACGGAGCATCACAGGGTTTAGCAAAATTTGGAAACTATGTAAAGCAACACAGACGGTCGGTTAAAACACAATTAACGCATGGTCTGGTTGAATACACTATTTCAAAGATTGTTAAATTGTAAGTTGAGTGTGAAATTTAAGATAGTGATAGAATACATACCGTAGAGAGACCTATGGGGGGAGACACGCACACAGTTAAGAGGTAAAGCAGCTCTGTACCGAGGCCTTAAATAGCCAGAGATGGAGGGACTGGGTCTCAGAGACAATGGGACACAAATTAGCATGATACAAGTTGTCAGGCACACAGAGAGGGCGCCGCAGCGCACACTTAGAGACACCCAGGCACACAACTATAGGCAGAGACAGCACAGCGACATAAACCCAATTCAAGACACAAAGGCAGATACACCAGCAGAGAACACAAAGACACAGCTTTCATACCTCCCCGAAGAGGTTGTTCAAACTCGATTTGGTGCTTTCGTGACTGCAGGAATTAATCTTTGTTTTTTTCGGTAAAGTCACGTAGAAATAAGAAAAAATAAAATTACATAATATGCCGATGCCCATGACGAACGAGGCACCTGCCATGCCCTTGACGAACGAGGCACCTGCCATGCCCTTGATGAACGAGGCACCTGCCATGCCTTTGACGAACGAGGCACTTGCCATGCCCTTGACGAATGAGGCACTTGACATGCCCTTGACGAACCAGGCACCTGACATGCCCTTGACAAACGAGGCACCTGCCATGCCCTTGACGAACGGGGCACCTGCCATGCCCTTGATGAACGAGGCACCTGCCATGCCCTTGATAAACGAGGCACCTGCCATGCCCTTGATGAACGAGGCACCTGCCATGCCCTTGATGAACGAGGCACCTGCCATGCCCTTGATGAACGAGGCACCTGCCATGCCCTTGATGAACGAGGCACCCCGTGTGACCCCCCCCCCCCAAACTGAAACACAACTGTGGTGCCGCCACAGCGGAGCCGCTCCGTCGGGGCCGTGCCCACCGCCGTGACGCCGCCACCGGGGGGTGACGACGCTGACGCTACGCGCCCCTCACCGCCCCCCACATGAATGCACGCATACCCCACGTAGAGCAGGGGGGGAAGGTCACCTGGCCGACGGGTTTTCGTCCAGAAGCCCCTACTGGGATCAAGCTTCATGGTTTCCTACAGCCGGGGAATTGGGCGACCTACCCCCGAGGCTGACGGGCACCGCGGCGCCATGACCTTGGATTGTAATGGCATGGTCACGGCAGTGGCTGTTGAGCTACCGCGGATGGAAGCGCGCACACACAACACGAGTCAGTGGGCTGATAGCGGGAAGAACAGAAAGCGGACGTCGAGGGGACCACTGCGGTGACATCACCAGAGCTAGGATCCGAATATCAAAAGAGCGGGAAAATCCCGGTAGCGGGAGGAGCAGAAAGCGGACGTCGAGGGGACCACTGCGGTGACGTCACCAGAGCTGGGATCCGACTATCAAAAGAGCGGGAAAATCCAGGCCCCTGATTGGACGGGATGCCAAGGGGGCGAAACAGCGGAACTCCTTTGTTGTAGGTAGGATAAAAGGAGGGGGATTCAGGCAGTAAAGGCAGAGTCCTTCAAGGCATCGGGATCAGCAGGGTGTTGGAGCCAGCCGTTCGAGTCGTCCGTGTGACAAGGATCAACGCAGCCAAGCCCAATTCTCCACGGAGATGATGCCCAGCATCGCCCTTCTACAGCTTCCGGTGCATCAGATTGGGAGTACGCGTAAGGGAGAGGTGAGTTTGGGGTATTTTACCAGAGGGTAGAAAGTGGAGCGATAGGCAGGATAAATTGAGTCCCAGATCCCCAAGGGATAGGCTAGTGTCTGCTGACCCACACAAACACGCGTAGTTAGCGAGTTATTCGCGGGGGGAATAAAATCGCCAGTAGAGGATAAACTGTGTCGGATGCTCTTTGTGAGTGTGAAGAGGAGGGTAGAGTGCCTTGCGTTCGCGTGCATACGCGGCTGTTTAAAGCGAAGAGGAGGGTGAAGCGCCTGGCGTTCGCGTACACACGCGGATGTATAAACGGCCTTTAAATCGGGGCGGAGTGACTCCCTCCAATCAGCGGTGCGCGCACGGTGGACACCCCTGCCCTCTAACCCCGAACCCCAAGTCCCTCGCGTGTGATTGGTGTACGGAGCCGGGCAGGTAGTGGAGTCGGGTTTGTTAGTGCCTGGGCACGTAGGGCGTGTGTGCGAACGGATCCCGGGGGCCTAAGCGCCAGCCGCGGATCATGCCTACGCGGGCAGCAACAAAGTCGGGGGTACAGGGGGGCGAGGAATTGGGGGTCGGTAGCCCGAACCCGACAGAGCAGTCGGGGGGTAGTAGCGCGATCATAACGGAGGAGTCGGGGGACAGCGGCCCCAACAATTCGGTGGAGACGGGGGACGGCGGCCCCCGCACAACACACAAACACGGGGACTCCATCCGGCTATTGTAAATATTCTTTATTTGGGTCCAAACTCTGTAAATAAATGGTTAAACATCGAGAGTATTGCTTTTTGTGTGGTCATTGCAATGTTTTCTTTCTATGTTGCATTTTTTACGCCGGAAAAAGGGCGGAACATGGTTCATTTAGGGAAGGCATAGCTCGGAGGGAGGGTATAACTATGGCCAGGAAGACCTGAAGCTTCCACACAGTGTTACACAGCCGATTAAACGGGAAAGCTGCTCGATTGATTAAAAGTGAAATCTCCGTTACCAAGCTACCAAACTGGAGCCAGTCAAAAGCACAAAGCACAACACAACTGTCATAACTCAAGAGGAATCTGAGGGGTGGAGTGTGTGATGACATAAAATATCCAGACAGGTGATCTGTTTTGGTAGGGCTCATGGCAAGGCCCACCTCTTCCTGTCACGCTCCAAGTTCAGCATCAGTCTAAAACTCCCTTCCCATGGATGGGCATCGAGGAGGAACTGTACCCTAGCTGATGTGCGTGTATGCGGCTATGTCACCTGCATCTAGCTTGGTACAGCACATCAACCCATGGTGCCGAGGTCTCTCCTCTGACCTAAAACTAGACTGGCA